CCAAAAACAATTTGTTACATCCTAATCGGCATGTTATAGAAATTATTATTTACTTGATGTTCATCTTTTTAACCAACAGATGATACAAAGTTACTGCCATTTAATTGTGATGTTATAGAACTGATATTCTCTGACATTTCGGGACACAAAATGCTAATATATAGAAAGAGGGAATAATTTCACCAGCCACTCGAACAGTTTGTTTTGCATTCCTCGACAATTGTTCTTGGTACAAACCTTGACTCCCCTTTGTATCTGTATTGGATTGATATAATATGTGTTTTGATATAAAATAATATGAAATTAATCGGTGAACTTTGCAGATGAAACTTTCAACAAACTTACATGTATACTTTGCCTAATTTAGACAACACATCTCGTGTTCATGTATCTTTGGTACCTGTTATTCAAGTTTCATATTTAGCCAAAACAGTAAACTTTATGTCGGTGAAAATCTTTTAAATATGTATCTTGTCCTTTTCAATGAGGATTAAAAATTGCATTTTTCATTTTAAATATAATGCTTCAAATCAATATTGTTGACCTAAATGATCGTACTGTAATGTTGAATATTTAATGGATGACATTTTTTCATTTTACATAAAGATTCCTAGTCTTATCTAAATTGCAGTTGCACGCAATGTTCTTATTAAAATGCACTTTGGGTTTATTAAAGTATTGATATCAATCATGTTTCAAAGCTTATCGTGTTTTAGATCGATAAGACTGAACAATTCGATGGCACATAATCTAAACCTCGTGTCATATAACTTACGCCTCGTGTCATATATCAGATTTAATCAATTAGAGATTGGTGTTGTTATTCTACATTATTTAATAATATTCCTATAGATGCAGCAAAAGTTGCAACAAATGTAAATGTTTGAATTATTAGAAAGAAGCGACTAAGAATGCATTACTTAGCAAGCTGCTAATATTTATTAGGATAATAAATTGAAGTCATGTGCGTATGTTTTGGCATATATAAAGGGATACATTTTTAAATCAATACCATCAACATGTGTCAGCCACGTGAATTATGATTATATCATGCGTGACTATGAAATATCTAGGAATACATATACATGTATCAATTATTATTGTTTAAACATATTTAGTTTATGCTTTTCAGTGGATTACTGATTTTTCCGTGAAAATTATATTTGATAATTTCATAGTGAAAATTATCAAAATATAATTTCACACTTTTCTATGACGAAACTACTTTTTTAAGATTTTCCCAATGTGGTACCTCAATTTTATTTTGCTGACAATTCTGATAATTTCAGGCTGTTAGAGAAAAGCAAAGCTGAAATTGATAAATAACTTAAATGTCAAAAGTAATAAAAAGAAGAAAACTAACTTCTATTCATTCAAATTACCTATCAACAAATATCGTCTCTAATTTTTTGTTTCATTTTTACAGTCTGAAAAATACATTCCTTCCACGTGCAAAACTGCTTTTGATGACATTTGGGCAAATTTAAGTATCCTAAGAGCAATAAATGCCATATGCTTTATGAAAACATGAAAAGCAATGACAGCCATCAGCCCAAAGAATAAGTAAACAACCCAGCGTTCGTAAGGCAGCCTTTCAAGTTTCAACAATTCCAAGTTTTCCAATTTCCTAGCCGCTTTTTGAATGTTTACACATCTGTCAACACTTATTTATTGTCTGTTACAATCCTCAAATAAGTCTTCTTTCTTTTAAAAAGGTGTATAACTAACAAATCCAAATGATATCCATCTGAATCAAACACAATAAATACAGAAATAAAAGAAGAAAGTCAGACCGATTGATTTACTGACATGGTGACACAAACTTAATTCAAAATTGATTGAAAAAAAATCATCATTGATAATAGTTTTCTATCTTGACCAACATATCACTTTATTACGTAGACTCTTTAATTAAGAGGATATTTATTAAGTCTAATATCAGCCTATAAGGAATTTGTATTAATATAGTTGATTTTTTAAGCCGATTGATGATATTAAAGAAACGTTGCAAGTGATCTCTGATAAATAATACAGGTTAAAAGGAGGATAATTTAGTTCACTTCTTCTTTTAGTTATTTTATATTCGGTATAATCATACATTCAGTGCATTTTGTTCATGCTGTAAATAATGTCCAGTATAAAGAAATGTCATAGAAAAAGTGATTTATTAAATGAAAGGAAAGGATATAAGTTCATAAGTTCAGTTTGCCATTAATCATATATTTGATATAAATATATATATATCATTAAATAAATTAAACTGGTTTCCTGGCAACAAGCGGATGTAAGACGTGACTGTAAACGGAGGATAAATAATAGAAGCAGAATGGACGATATTTTTTAATCAATTATTTTGTAAGAAAACTAAAGAAAAGTCTTGTCTTGTTGTCATATGATAAAAGTGAATGTATAAGTTAATGACGTCAGCGTTTGTGTTTTCGTAGGATAACTTTAGTTCATGGCATTTTTAACGTATAATTCTCTTTTTGTTTCCCCTTTACTTGCACACTGGTGCAACCCGACAAGTGTTGTTTAGATATCATAGTAATGTTGTTTTTAATTAAAGTACTTTTATTATAAGCTTGTAAAATTATTTAGAAATAGATGATCGTTTGTGAAAGGAACTATTAAAACCGGCTTGTATTTTACTGTAAATAACAGTTGGCTTACGAGTTAAAACAATATATCAACTTTTTTTCTCGTAGAAAGAGAAAAAACAAAATTCAAGATATGTAAGTAATGTATTATATTTGTATTACATTAGTAAAATGTATTTTGTGTGTCGTGAAATAAATATTGTATTTATGAACGATTCATATAATGGAGCATTTACCGTTAGTTAAAATACATCAAGTAAAACAATTTTTTGCATTATGTTATGATCATGTTGGTTATAAGATTTAAGTATCAATATTTTTAACAGAAAAAAATATTTCAAGAAGAATGTCTATACATATAACGTAATATTTGACGTCGTTCGTTGGTTAATGCCAAACAACTTATCATTTCGTGCAGTAAGAAGAATAGTTCGGATTTGTTTTTATTATAAAGAGTCCAACACGTCCAGATAGTGTATAAGATTTGTTTTGCTCGCTTTATATTAACATAACACTATAAAAAAAGTATTTACCGTGCCTTCAGATAAATTCGACGATTACCGATGATGAAATTTTGGTGAAAGATTATTATCTCTCTGTCATATCTGATTCAATGCAAGAAGCAATGGTTTTCTTGATTTTGTACACAGTCACTCGTGCCATTTTCATAAAAATAGAGAAAAACAGAATCCCTAAAGAAAGTCCAACACAACAAAATTGAAAAGGTTGCAGACTCGGTTTGATTGAGCCTGTTCATGGACGGTACTGGAAAGTGCAAGTTACCGTCCACGCCCCCTAGCACCTGCTTAAGCAGAATTCAACATTTAACACGAAAATGGTGTAATTTTGAATTTAGAAACATGCGCAGATGAGTTCATGCGGCGGTTATCAGGGAAACTTCAATGTGACACAGTAGTGCCATTCCATGAAAAGCGGCGTATGGTCCCCAAGTCAAAGAATGCTTTTGCCCTAAACGAGAAAACAATGGGCGGAACTAAATAAAATCGAATTTTAAAAGGGGATCTGAGGTTATGAAGCCTGCATATCACATATAAGACGTCAAAAGACAAATTTAAAAAGCAGGCAACATATCCTAAGGGTGATTATACAGTATTCAAGTAGGAATACTGGAACCACCCAAGTAGAAAATAGCCAAATAGAAGAAAGTTTAAGTACCACATAACATGCATACACAACAATTCATATTGTTTAATACCGACATGTCTGGGTTAAAGTAAACCTAGAACGGTTAATGATAATGTCTACCTTCGAGATACCTAATCCCCCCCCCCATTTCAATAATGATATTTTCACCATTTTATGAAAAGAAAAACCCGCTGTATCCGAATGACAAAATGAGATTGATTTAAAAACCTCGTTTGTGTCAGTTGGTTTTAACGTACACAAATCGTATGTTAAAGATCCTGTAACACAAATTTTTTATGGTTTTATATCATAAATATAATACTCAAATTATTAATATTTATCAATATTGTCAGTTCCGAGCATTATTTATAAAGATATTACCGAACTAAACATTTCATATAAATAAAGGTGGTATTAAAAAAATTTTCTATAAAGTCTAAGTCAAATTTTTCAATAAGAAATGAATGCGTAAATTTTAATAATTACGTATAATATGTACAAATATTTGTAGTACATATTTTACATATTCTTTAAAGTTTGAAAATTGTTTTATAAGCCTAATTATACGTATAATTATATAATTTCACTTAAGTGTAGTATGCAACCTCAATTACAACATACAGGATCTTTAACGTCGGTGCAACGTTTCCGTGTTATCTACAGACTGTCAACATTTTTACTGCTACAATTAATTTGTCTTTAACAATTTGATTTATATCATTTTCTTTATCTCAAACAGAAGTGTTTTCCTTTCAAATGTTTAAAGTCTGTTTATCTTACCACAATAGTCTAAATTTCAACACTTAATTTGAAATAAAAGAAGTTATATTCTTCGGCATGTTTTGTACACTTCGTTTTGTCTTCTGTTTGGTGCACATTACAATGTAATGTTTTGTTTCAGTGATGTACATGTATTACAGCTAGGAATTCAACGGCTGGGCCCAAAACCCAGTCTTCAAATTAAAAGTCGTTACAAATGCTTTCTTTGAATGTCAAAGTTCACAAATTGTAAGGCATTGAATTAAGAACGCTTGAACTAAAATTATCTTAAAGCGTATTATTGCCGATCATAACTGTCGGTATAACTTTTTAATGGCGATTCCAAATTGCTATAGCTCAAACAAGTCTCTGAACAAACTTATGAAAAAGTGCCTGTTATGAAACTATTAATACATTGTAGAAGGTTAAAATCAATAGTTTTCTCACGGTATTCTATCGCATATGGAAGCACCTGAGTCAAGGCAAGCGCTTACCTATACAACAATCAACAACATTTATCTTTAGCGCTGTAACATTTTATTGGGAAAAGTTTCTACGATACAGGAATCATAACGGATAAATATGGCGTAGAGCCAGGAGGGTGTTTGTTTTCGTTATTGATGCATTTGTGTTCTTAGAATTAAATAAATTTGCTGTAATAAATAGCTTTTCCTACAATTCTGAACATATAATTGATAGAGGAAATAATGTGCTTTAGACAGGCTTATAAAAGTTCAATGTGAAACAAAGTTATAAAATTAACATCAAATAATATTTCAGCGAATACATTAAACATACACAACAGCGGACTGGAATTTCTTTTATGAAAGGTTTGTAAGTTATTTGTATTGTAAATTTCATATAAAGAAGATGAACAGTTTCATTAAAGAAGCATGTTCTGGTATCAGTAAATAAATATAGTTTTCATAATATTTGTCACTGCATTTGGTGTTTACAGTACTTGCAAAGTCACTTATCATAATATTTTAACTGCATATGCATAACTTCTATACACATTTTTACATCTAGACCCATACAGCACTGTCTGATCAGGAACAAGAAGTTTGTTGTTTTTGTTGTTTTGTCAGTTTACAAAGTCATTATTGTTACTGTAGTAGTCAACGATAGAAATTTCACGAGTGACCCTGGCATATTACAACTATAATATAATATGAACAGAACAGAACGGAACAGAACACTATTTTATTTTTTCTTGTACAAAGTACATAATCATACATAGTGTATTAATACATTGATAAAAGTGCATAAACAATACATATTCAATACTAATTTTCAATGAATTAAAATAATCTTTAAAGAATATGTCACGTTACATTTTAATGACATTAGTAATTAATATGTAATCAATGATCTGTCTTCCGTTGTCATATCTAAATATTTTATTTTGCTTTTTATGTGTTACAAAAATGTTTTATTTGATAATATTGGATTGGTGCTAAACACAAAATACAATACAATACAATACAAATAACCTTATTGCAAATAAAACATTATTACAATGTTTATAGCAAAACAAAACATATATATACATTCATGAAAATGAGATCTGACATGGAATGAAAATATAATATAAACACTATTTCCTGAAAGGTCTTAAAATACTTAGGAAATAGCAGGTTGCACAAAATGTCTTAAATATGATATTGATACTAAATCAAGATGTTAATATGATATTAATTGATACTACATCATCAAGATATTCTCTCATTATTTGCAAAATATAAAAACTTCGAAAGGTTGTTTAGCTCTATTTTCGATTTAGAATTTAATAAAGATTCAAATTTATTAATTGTCGGCCACCTACAGAAATATCCCTTTAAAAACTTTTTTCTAAGCTCCCTATATCTAGGACACGCCATCAAGAAGTGAAACTTTGTGGCAGTGCTCATTTCATCATCATAGAATAAAAAGCAATCTTGCTTATTGCGGCTGCATGCAATTTGACTATTCATTGGACTTTGGTTTTCCTGAAATACTCAGTTGATGCAAAACATATGTGAAAACTAATCATGCCATAAGACCAATAAATCCGAGATTGAACATTCTTATAATGCAAATGAAATGTGAGGTGTACATGTGCCAACGGTAATCAATTAATTCAATTTGTTTTATTTATAAAGTGTATGAGATAATTACTCGTAGAAGTATTGACACAACAAGAGGCAGTGGTGACAAAATACAGATATTTTCTGATTAATTTGAACCGTTAGACAGCGCATATATACGTAATGTGTTCTCAAAATACATTACATTTGTGATTTATTAATATATCATGGACTATTAGATTACAATGTGTTTATAGAAATTCATTTTTAAATAATTTATATGTTTGTTTGTATATATAGAGTAAATATATTTTCATTTGTAAGTGTGTATGAATTATAAATATTGTGTATACATGTATGTAGGAGAACTTGGGATATTTTTGATATTAATTTGGGTGAAATGTCCAATGTAGGTGATATTTGCGACGAAATATGTTATACTATGCCCATACTATATTGCAGTTAATAAGCCTATTAAGCATCAACATAAAAAATTATCAAATATGGAAGTGTTTGTGGCTTAAATAAGAAATTCTAAACAGAAAAGGGAATTTATAATGTTCAGAACGATATGTGGTGTTGTTTATAATGTAAGTTCAAGGGAAAGGATTGGAGCAACCGTAGGCAAGAGTTTGGCTTTAAAATGCTTTATCCTGCTTACCAGTCCTTACTTACAAGCTTTGAACATTGTAAAAAGAAATAGTACAGATCAAATTTATAATTTGAATAATCCTTATGAAATTTGTTGAACAATAATTATGATTTGGATTTATAAAAATGTGTATTAAATATCTTCAAGATAATGCAGAGCTCGGCGAAATATCAGTAAATGAATTAAAAAATATTGACAATAGTTTTACTTCTTTGTACTACTCGTGTATTGCCCTTGAGTTTTCTTTATATATTCAAAACTGATATTAAACCTTTAATTTCAATTTCCTTAACATTGAGCGAAATATTTCTCTCTACATGTAGAACAGGTGTAGCAGATGTTATAATAATGTGGCATTATATTAATACAATAAAATAGTTCGCCCAAAAATAAATGTTCTGCTACACTATTATATCGCCAGACAACATGACCATCTGTTATGTAAGTTTATAATTATGTATTCAATAGTTATCACACACTGCTATATGATATGTAACAGTACCTTCACCATGTATTGTTTGTTCCGTATCAAATCTCGCCACTGTAACATGGTACCGGCGCCTTGTCGATAAATCTGTAAACATTGTCAAGTTGTATAAAAATAACTTTGAAAGTGCATAATTGAGAAACAAGATTGCTTTAAAATTGAACATTTCATCTGTAAAGAAACAATCCGTTACATATACAAAATTAAGTTATTACCTAATTTAATGAAAGATATTTTTAATAGTCAAATATTGACTTCAACTAGGAATTAAGTAAATGTTGTAAGAATTATTGTTATAAAGAAATAAAATCGTTTATGTTAGTTTGTTTTGTTTTGTATTTCATAATTAATTTTAGCTTATAAAAATTTCAAAGTGATAATTATTGTAGACCTATTATAAGGTAAGAATTTTATTATATACTGATAAATATTGATGAAATAAAATGCGTATTTTCATTTTCCATATTTTTACTGAAAAACAAATAGGACTACTGTCTTCTAAATCCAGCCAATATAAAAATGGAAAGTCTTTCAAATTGTACTGTAAAAAAGAGATAAAATATATATATAATAAACAGAAAATTCACTTTTTTATATAAATACTGGATTGATTTTCATCTTGTGGCTACCGTCACTCATGAAATATTTATTTTCATACCACTCGATAGAAATAAACCCTGTATTCATAGAAAAAATTGAATATCCTCTATGTATAAGAATGACTTAAAGATAAATATATCTATTCCATTTTTCTTTTTTCTTAATTTGCAAAACACACATATATATATAATGAACTGTATCAAACAAAAAGTTCGGTTTATAAATTACTTTAAGATTACCTATGATAATTATTTATTTGATAAATCATGCAAAACAATATAATGAATGAAAACAATGATCAAAATAAATGTCAGATACGCGAAATAATTATACTTTAAAAATATAATAATTATGGTACCTTATAAACAACTTACATGCAGTCAAAAAGTTTCAAGAACGATATCTTTTGTAAAAAATCAAAGTGTAACATTTTTCTATCATTATATTTACAAAAAGAATACTTAAATGTCAGTGTGCTTTTAACCCATATAGTTATTAAAGTGATATATTATTCGTCTTCAAACCAAATTACAGGACAACATTAACAAATACTATTAAAATATTTCACTTAAAGCGATAAATTCGTAAAAGATTTAAGATAATTTCTTCTTATCAAACTTAAAGTTATCTAATATAAGCACAATTTATACAAAACTTATACAACATATAGGAAGGTGTTTCAGTGTAAGACACGTGCCAGAATCATGTTTTAATTAATTTAAACTCGATTATAAAGAGTAACGCCAGTATAAGCGGTTCTGCTGTACTTGAAACCTGAAATAAAAACGTAGAGCGACTAATTAAAAGTTTGTTATAGATATCTTTACAGTAATTTAGACGGTTTCTTAGCAACGTGATCAATACTTGAATGATGAGAAATAACGAAAATACTTCTTAGAAAAATGAAGATAACGTATAAAAGCCACGGTATAGACTATTCTTCCGCCAAACAAATGAACACATTACTTTTATAGTTAACATAATTGTATATACAATGTAGAAAGAAAGTCCGTTCATTCCATTGTATTTTTATGTCATATTTTCTATTCTTTTATTTTCTATTCGTGACAATGGACTTATTCAAACTAATTTTTATCATTATCACTTCAGATGGCATGAACCCAAATACGTATGGATTCAATACTTGAAGGCGGCACTGAAAACAAAATATACATTGATATAATAAACTCGTGAGGATATTGCGGGAGACACATGTTGTTTCCTGCCTCGTGCATCATGCCAACAAAACAGACCACTTCACGACAATGAAGAAGAAACGTTTCATTGTGACTATTCATTTATTAAGTACTTCGAAATATGCGAGTAACAAAGGATCTAAATATAAAATAAGTTTTGTGAAATGTCGACAAAGTTTGAAACCGGACAAAGAGCACCGGCGTCCAGCAACGAGCCTCAGCTGACGGCATTTACCGGGGTTGGGGATGTTGATAGGGTGGAAATAACCGGTGCGGGCCGGGATGAATGTGCAAAGGTATGACGTCAATGTTTAGCATCCTGCTATATTGGCACGTGTTTGATCTAAATTTTTCTAAAACAAACATGAAAGATATTTATATATAATTTGTAAATTTGTACTAGCGCGATGTTATATAAACGGAAATTGCTGCACGTAAATCAAATTAACTCGTTTAAATATAAAGTTTCATGGAATTTAGAATTGCAGCTGTCGATTTTTAATGATATGAAATTCCAGATCAAATGATTGTACCATATATCCACAGTTCTTTAAAAATGTAAACAAAGTTATCGAGTTTGTAGGACTTAAACAGAACAGAACAGAATAGAACAGTAGAGAGCACTTAAAGCGTTCATAGTACGCTATCATATACAGATATAAGAAACACTACAACAAATGGTTTCAATAAAGATTCTCTCTGGGTTTTTTTTACTTACATGAATTATATATGAAAAAACAACGTATTAACAAAATATTCATCTATAATTTTAGAAGGTAATCGATGGTTTTTAGCGAACGCCACGCAGCTTTACCAGAAACCTGATCCTTTTAAATAGAACAGAATATGAATTTCATTGTTTAGACTTGAGAATTTTACTCCTTATTAATCACTTTTGTGTCAAAGTCAAACAATAAAATGATATATACAATATTGAAAATAACAGTTGTGCATATGACAAAAGGGGGTTAAAGTAAAAATTAGTATCATTTTAAAATGAATATTAGTTCTTGACAATATGATAATAAATAAAACACATTTAATCGGACGTTTATTGCAATAGATTATGGCTAATCTTTAAAGCACACTTTAGGGGAACAAGCCAAGTCAGTCAATTTTTTCATAAGTGGCTGAAAGCTGCTGAGTAAGTTTTAATTATATTGAGAACTTTTTTTTAAAAAGATACAAATCGTTATTCTACCGTTTAATTACTTATACTAAAGCTTCTAGAACATAACTATAATCAGAACCATTTCACTGATCAAAGGCTGTGTTATTTTGTACCTTTCTGTTAAATTTCCCGCATCTTTTTTTAAAAAGAATCTACGAATAAGAATAAAAATGCTACAAATATACTTCTTCAACCTTTATTCACCATTTTCAATTTCCCTGACAAATTTGACATAAGGCAAGAAATTTCATGACTTTACGTTTGATGTTTGTCTTAAAACCACTGAAAATTTAGATACATGACATTAAGACATATCATTGCACATCTTTAAGATTTTTAATCGATATATACTAGCCTGTTCAAAGCATTCAATTAGATCTTTAACATTGCATTATACATTGATTAATTTTCTGCGCACGCTCTTCTTATCGGTTCTATTTTTCCAATTATAAGCTGCGTTTACATAGCCATTAAGCAATATTAGGAAGCTTTGTTTATCTAAATTGATATGTTTGTTATTTGTTAAGAGAAAAGATCTAACCAAACAATTAATTAGAAAATAAAATGACTTATGTGCACTAGCGCTCCAAAATTTGAGAAAAAATCATTGTAAAAGTAACAATAATGTACGTTTGTTAGGACCCTATTCTGGCAAAGATATGGCAAATTCATGGCAGTCTCGTGGTATTTTATATTTTCTCAATATGAGTACGTTTGTTCCACTTTTAAACGAACCTTTAATACTTTTTGTATTTTATTGTCATTCAGTAAATCATCGTTTGCTTGTGGAAGATACATGCGCTCATAGTATAAAAAAGGAAAATGTGAGACCACATTTTTCAAAATATATTTGACAAATATCAAAGGAGGCCTACCGTCTTCAAAATCATCATTATCATCTTTTCTGATAACGAATTACACATAAACAATCGAAGTGTCAAAGAAAACTTGTAAATAATTTATTACAAACTATTTGTGAAACAATGACATCATGAAATACCATATTCGCTTTTTTGACATTATGGAACGAAATATAGTGTGTACGAAACGCGTCGCTATTCGACATATACACCGAAATAAACCGCAACTCCCGTTAAGATAAAAAATAATGTTGCATGATCATACTTTATAAAATTTATTGATTTGTGATTATCTATTGTTTTAAATACAGATGTAACATTATTCAGTTAAAAATATTAACTGCCATGTATACATAGTCTTTGTCATCTACACAACAAAATGAAATGAAATGCCATCAACGATGCTGAATTTTGGCCCAAGTTAAGATGATAATATCATTTATTTAAATGAAATGGCACTATAACTTGTTTAATGTTGTTTAAATCTATGGAAATGTAATAAAAACCTATCGACTGCTTTAATTTTTTTATTTTATTTTATTTTGTTGTGTGTGTGTGTGTGTGGGGGGGGGGGGGGTTAGTGAGACACAAAAACTGTGTTATGTTCGTTTAAAGATAGATTTTTTATATTTTTTTTGTCTTACTGTCTAACTGTCGTACTTTCTATTTTCTTGAAAATTTATGGTCGTTTCCTTGTTTTCGATAATTATAAACCGGATAACGTATGCAAAACATGAAAATGAAGAAAATATTATTTCAATAATGCGACGTAATTATATATTGTTATAGTTTTCCTGACATTTTTTCTCGTAAATGCTGTTTCAGCTAAATTTGATATTATGACTTTAATTTTGTTTCCTGAAATCATTTAAAGACAAAGAAACAACATATGAAATAAATTTCTCGTAAATGCTGTTTCAGCTTAATTTGATACCATTGCATAAAATTACAAATGTTTCTGTTCAATTCCTTTACGATAAGGAAAATAAACATGTTCACTTCATGAGAAAGGTTTGATTAAGCAAGTAAGAGTAAATGTTAATTTAAAAGAGCTATAAATATATCATTTGTTGTTTAACATCTTAAGCGAGCATTCTTCAAATCATTTAATTGTAATTATTTATTTTGTGTTAATACTATTTACAGATTTTGTCTGAATTGAACCATGAAGCGGCTACTTATTGTCTTTTATCATCATCCCTGGGAACTAAAACAGATGGCGATTTGCTTCGGAGGAAATTAAGACTGTCCAGGATTCGAGCTTGGGACCATGCTAAACGTGCTCAAAACAAACTAATCCCGGTGCTTAGGAGGTAAATTTTAAATGAAACCAGTATTATTCAGAATATCAGTAAAAAAAGTCAAAAATCTCAGTTCTGTTCTGAACCCCTAATTAATGCTACGGTTATTCAATTGACTTGTCTGCACTGTTAAAGGCCAAAGTCTCGAAAGACAGATTTCCATATTTGTTTGTTTTATATTTATCTGAGAGATACATATCTTAAACGGTCTTGCCTAACAAAACTATTCATTATTTAAGGGAACAATTTCAAACTACATAAACTGATTGAGTAGCGAACACTGCAAAGCATGATCGGGCAGTACGGATGCGTCGACTGACCTTTGTCTGCAGTGGTTAAAGGCCAATTGTGCCTCCGAAATGCTTTCAGTTTTTATTTCCCAAAACTTGTTTGTTTTCGTTTTTTCTATCTTGTTACAGTTTCCAAAAGTATACTCATTTGCTCTATGCATGAACTATCTTTTGAATTTTTTGTTCTGTTGGCAGTTGGTGTACATATTATAGTGAATAAGTATTTAGTATGGAAGTCAAAATACTACATCGTTACATTTTGCTACCTTTACGACTACTTTTTTAACATGTAAAACATCTATCATGCACTTAATACATTATTTAAACATTATTGAACACATGTTTGACATTTCTAAAGAAATTTAAAAATATTGATTTCTGAGGCATAATGTGCCTTTAATAGAAATAAATTTTGTTTTAAATGAGAACTTTAAATTCTCATTCCCCTACAACACAATTTTTCTTGATAAGCAAAGGTTTTACTAATAAGACTTGAAATATATTGTATAAATGAGTTTGATTGATCGATTAAGTTTATGATGAAATGATCAGTATACATGTATTATGATTAATCCATCAGTAAAAGATCGATTGATTATTTGTAGGTTTATTTGTTAGTTAATTTGTGACCGGTTTTTTAATTATATCATCATGTGTATTCTTAAAAAAAGGTGACTTTATGAAATATGTAAAATGTTTGTTAACCCTTCAATGAAAAAAAAACATGCATTATCATCATTCTCACTTAACTGATTTTTGTTGATGCCTACTATATCAGTTTTCTATAGCCATTATATTCCTGGTTCACACAAAGTTGATTTATAACAATATTGCAAGTCAAGTTATCGCTTCGGTCTTTAACAAATCAATACATGCATGCGGTTAGACACTCACTGGTACTGTAGTAACTGAGTGTTTTAAATAATTTATATTGATGAATGCGGTATAGATAAAGGTGACGAACTTTGTAATGTTGCAATATAAAGCGATAATATTCATAGCAAAAATAGGTATATAATTCACACTACAGCACAATGAAGCGTTTAGTGCTATAATGGACGTTGGCTTTGTGCAATGATTGTCCGTTAAAAAAAGCTCCAAAATGGAAAAAGCAGCAAACTTGATATTTCAGATGTAAGACATAGCTATTTTACGTCATTAGATTGGCTCGAAGTTCTTGAAATGATCTATATTCAATATTTCAGAAGAGGTTTTCTGGTCCTTAGGGATCATTGAATCCAGCATTTTTAAGTGTTGAGAATTGAGTACCGTTCAAGTCGGTGCTATGGGGTTGAGAAATGTTGCACTTTTTCATGTAAAGACTCAATCAAAACGAGTCTGCAATTTTCATGTAATTTTGCTGTTTTTAATGCTGTCGAGGGATCACTTTCTTACCAGATGTTTGCACTCCACACCTGCTTATACACAAAAGTCAATTACGTTATTTCAACAATGAAAAGATACCCTCAACTCATCTCAACTCAAATATTTTATTTAAGTCTCATCTATGTGCATCTTTACATATACTCGTATTTAAGAAATAAAACACAACATTTTTACACAACACAAAGCCACTCCTACATAAGGAGTTATAAGAGACTGTAAAATTATTAAAATAATCTCTAAAATAATCTCTAAAATATCTACTTTTTAAGAATAAAAAGTCAATATTAAGACACAATCTAACATGAATTATATGATCAAAGAGGTCAAGTTTGTGCCTGTCTGTCTATTAATTATATTACTATGACAATAATTGTTGTTTGAGCTAACCCTGTGTATTAATACTTTTTAATTCATAAAATCGTTTAGCTAATACCCTTAAAAGTTAAATATAAAATTCATGATAATAAATTTCCTTTATTACAATACTTTGAAGGAGTCTGTACACCTGGAAATTCCAAGCTGCTTTTTAAATTGGCAAGATCAATATTATACCACATAGGCATTAAAACCATACAATTTCATTCCTGTTTTCTATATCAATAGCAATATTCCTATTTTAACATATTAATAAAAAATATCTTGATAAAAGAACTTTAAAAGCACCATACTTATACTTGTTGTACTTATATACATGTATTTACAACAATTTGTATTGTTATAAACATGTAAAAACCATATAAAATTCAGTAAAAATACAACTAATGACTAGATTAGTTAAAGTAAAAAATTTATCTCCTATACAGCCTTAAACGTCTAAGTTGCAGTATTTGGTAGCAGGCTTTGGCAGAATATTTAACAATTTCAAAGTTGTTTAGTACATAACATAACTTTTCCATGTCAGACAGAGTATCAAATACAGTACTAATTTGACGTATTTTTACCAACAAATCTTCTCTGATATCATTATATACTGGGCAGTGTAAAATTACATGAATCTGATCCTCAACATTTGTGGTACAATTGCAACATGTTCTATCATTTACATGTAAATTCTCATTACGGCCTGTCTCTAACCGGATAGGCGCAACACCACAACGAAATTTTGTCAAAGAACTTCTATGATGGAAGGGTAAATTGTACTTGAGGTATTTTTCAACAACCGGTGTATCTTTAAACAAACTATATGTTCTAAGTTTATTACCACCAGTATTTCTATTGGTATCATTCCTATTTAGTGACTGTTTCCACTTATCTAATTCAACTGACCGTAACTTGTTCTCGACCATTTCAACTATTCTCTTAGCACTAAAACATGTACATCATTAATATTTATCTCAATACTTCTAAACATCTTACATATTCTAAAATACTGGTTCTTACATCTGGAAGAAGCACTCCGTCTTGCCCAATCAAAGAGTTTTTGGTTAATTCTACCACTATCCATTTTGACATTCTGCAGAAGTGCCTGACTACAGAACCCCACTGTTTAACTGATGATGGTTTCCAGCCCATTTCCCCAATAACCGCTGCATTAGGTGTATATTTCCCAACTCCTAAAAAATATCTCATTGCTCGATTTTGGATAGCATTTATGCATGAAAATGAGCGGTCACCCCAGATTGCAGCACCGTAGTTAAGAACAGACCAAACAGAAATATCATATAACCTCGTGAATGTTGTATACTGAACCCCCCCCCCCCCCACCAATTTACTCTTTGCTATGAGAAGACCCAGTGCTCTTCCAGCTGACGATGCAATAGACTTAGCCATTTCAGCATAATCTAAAAATTCATTGAGAACAACACCCAAATATCTGTAACTATGAACAACATCAATATGACTGTCCCCAATTTTGAAATTAAAAGATGTTAAATCTGTGCTTCCCGTTCTAAAATGTATGACATTAGATTTTTCACAATTTACAGTCATATTGTTTGTGTCGCACCACATATTAAGATTATCTAATAGAATCTGTAAATCATTGGCCGATTCCGCTAAGAGAACAACATCGTCAGCGTATAATAATATACATAAAACATCATCATTAATCTTTATACCAATATTCAACTCTTTTAAATATGTTACCAGGTCATTGATATACATATTAAATAGAATAGGTGACAATGGACAACCTTGTTTCAAGCCACATTTCACATCGAACCATGATGTATCAAAACCATTTATTCGAACACAACATTTTACATCTTTATAAAGTGATTGTACTGCTAGCAGAAGTTTGCCATTAAGACCTGATCTATGAATTTTTTCCCATAGTTTGCCTCGATTAATAAAATCATAGGCCTTTTTGAAGTCTATGAATGCCAGAAAAGTTGATTGTTTTTTAAGTTTCCTAGTCTCTATGATGTTATTAATTGAGGAAACATGATCTATTGTACTTTTACCCTTAACAAAACCATTTTGTTCATCATTTATAATATCATTTTCTTCACACCATGCATATATTCTTTCATTTAAAACACTTGCATACCCAGACTTGGTTAATTCTAATACGAGCCAAACTTTTAAAAAGGTTTAGAGTAACCCTTTTGTACCGATCAAATCTTTAACATCTCTATAAATTAATTAGTATTACATTATCGTTATCTGTGCTTGTCGATGACTCGTAAAACCTTAGTAATACGATTTTATCATTATTAATTTCAGGAATCTTATTCGCAGTGAGTGTACAGAAGAACTGGAACGGATGTATCGTGCTTTCTCTGCGTGTTTAGAGTTTCTGGAACAACAATACCTTATAACATTATTACTTCAATTGAATTTTGATTCGATGAAAGGTTCAGTTTTTTGGTCGTGCACTTTTTGCGTTCTCTTTTCTTTGTAGTTTCTGACAAATATACTCTGGTGGTTATAACAACAAACCGACTGCACTCTATGTGTTGCTGCAAGCATATACAAATCAATGTGTAATATGTCATACGATTACCAGCATTTGTTACTTCCTATCACTGTGGCTTTCTAAGGAGTCTGTATATAACAAATGGAATCTTTCTTGCGATACTAGGAACTAGACTTGGTAATACACCGAACATTGAACATGATAGTAAAACTTGTTCTTCCACAGACCTAATAAAAAGTACATAAAACTTTGAATCATAGACAGGGTTAAAGGTAACATTCATTGATTATGATTAAGATGTCATTGGTCTACTGATTAAGATGTCATTGGTCTACTGATTAAGGTGCCATTGGTCTACTGATTAAGGTGTCACTAGTCTACTGATTAAGATGTCATTGGTCTACAGATTAAGATGAAATTGGTCTACTGATAAAGATGACAATTGGTCTACTGATTAAGATGTCATTGGTCTACTAATTAAGATGACATTGGTGTACTGATTAAGATGAAATTGGTCTACTGATAAAGATGACAATTGGTCTACTGATTAAGATGTCATTGGTCTACTGATTAAGGTGTCATTGGTCTACTGATTAAGGGGCCATTGGTCTACTGATTAAGATGGCATTGGTCTACTGATTAAGTTGTCATTGGTCTACTGATTAAGGTGTCATTGGTCTACTGATTAAGGTGTCATTGGTCTACTGATTAGGTGTCATTGGTCTTCTGATTAAGATGTCATTGGTCTGCTGATTAAGGTGTCATTGGTCTACTAATTAGGTGTCATTGGTCTACTGATTAAGATGTCATTGGTCTGCTGATTAAGGTGTCATTGGTCTACTAATTAGGTGGCATTGGTCTACTGATTAAGGTGTCATTGGTCTACTGATTAAAGATGGCCTTGGTCTACTGATTAGGTGTCATTGGTCTTCTGATTAAACCTTTCTGCACAGAGATCACGATGAGAGCCTAACAAGAGTCATATCACGTTTCCTCATTATGGTATTTATGACAATACCAGAGATTGAACCGAATCAAACGTTTTCACAACCGAGCTTAATTCCTGCTTAAATTAATCAGATACGACGTAGTTTCTTATTATAACGAAACATTAACATTTTGACTAAGATATAAAAGTTTAACAACACTGCGGATAATGACACAGGACTATTGTCATATATGTATCATAATAAATTCATTGATGCATTTTTAGTGAATAACAATATTCGTGAATGAATTATAAGTTTAAACGAGCTTTCATTTTACAAATTTATTTCAGATGACCAGATTTTTATAAATTCTGGCCTTTCTGAGACCCCGTGCGGCAAGAAGTTTACAGATAAACTTGCAGTTGATTTGACTAATTCTGATGTTCTGTCCATTAAAAGCATGGATTGTAATGACGTACGTGCATCGGAAACAGATGACGTTCTTATTATACAAAAGTAAAATTTTATCTACCGTGTTTGCATTAAAAGTGTTACAGTGTTAAAAAGCAACCCCTTAAAATCTGCTGATCAAGTGAAAAGGTGGTTTTAGTCTATTTGAATATATATGCGCATCAAGATTCAATGTGTGCATATATCTTAGACACTAACTATAGTCCCCGATATTTAGAATGAAAAAGTCTCGTCTAAACTATATATAATAATATTTATAGCTTCGTTTTCTTGTGTAGAAGAAAGATAAACAATTAGTTAAGCAATGGCGTATTGATTATTTATAGTTTGTGCCAGATATGATATTTATTATGTTACATTGTTTTTGAAATTTCTCTTTGTCAGTTATACTAATGGTTGAACACAATCTTTAGTTTTGCTAATCGAGTGGTAAATTCTTTATTTTATTTGTGCCACAAGCGTAGTAATTCATCATTAAAATCTCAAACAATGGTAAATGACAGAATATGTAGTTTATCTAGAAATACTTATTTGTGATACAACTATACATGATCTTTATTTTAAAATTCCATGGTAATGACAGATAAAAAAAATTGATTCAATATAAAACATCTGAGCACTGAACGAATAAAATTAACAATGCATTAATGTATTGAATTAAATTAATTGTATCATACAGGGAGATGGAAGATTTACATGAATTGATTTATTCCATGAATCAAAGCATTGCCATACAAGCCTGGGAGATCGATCCAGACATGGAAACAGAAAAGTTCACAATTGCAATAGGTATGATTTTTGCAATGAGTTAATTTTTAACAGGCCTTTGGTAATTTCAATATATCTTCTGTGTTTTGAAGATAGTATATGCTAACAAAAACGTAAAGTAAAATATAGCGTTTAAGATTAAAATTCTTTCAACAATTACATATCTGAAGCAATGGGTATTTTAATTTATAGCAGTAATGAACATTCATACTTGAATTGTTCGATATGGTTCAATATTTACACAAAAATTGATATGTTAACCTAAGTTAAGAACTGACGTTTACAATAGAAGAAATCTAAAATCTGAAAGATGTCAGAACAGATACATAATTGTAGTTGTATCAGGTATATATCTGAACGATGAGTATTGTTTTAAAGTAATTTCAAAATAAATTTCAAAGCCACCTCAAAATAGAATTAAGCGCTTTTTTCTTTTATTATATAGAAAACGAAGCATCTGTTGCCGATTCGTTAGCAAATACAGAAAATTACACAGAGGTAAGTATTGTTAGTACAGAAATATTAAAGTCGCAGGACACGGCAAGTATTAGGCTCTGACAGTTTAAATTCTATTTCTATTCAATCCACTCATGTGACTAGTGTTTTAAAACATTTTTATACTTAAGACTTTAAAGTCAAGACAATGATATGTTTTTTTACAATTATTCAATACTGTGATAGAAATAGGGAAAGATTCACCAACAACAATGCTCGACAAAGTTTATTATTACTTTAAACAGTTGAACCATTCATACATGAGCAACGGTTGCTTGAATAACAAAGGCATTCGTTACAATATTTTAAGTAAAAGGGAGCAGAGGTCATTATCACACTGATAGCGTGTCTGTCATAAGTAATACATGAATAATATAAGTTCACTTAAACATATACAATACACATATGACAAGCAGAGGAAACAAATATGGCTTGCCCAGTACACACATTTTTCTCTTTGATGTTTAATGGACTTGTGTTTGTTTTACTTGAAATTGTCAGTTACTTATTCAGATACCTTCCGAAATAATTAAGAAGTAAGGACGTTGTAAAGGTTATAGTCATGTCTTCATCATCTAGTCTTCTTCTACCATCTTGTCGTAGACTGATCCTTAATATCACAAGTGTCAAAAAAATTATCAATGCGTTCATTTGTGTATGTGTGCTGATTTCTATGGATTACGGTTAGGGCCATCGTGGTTATACTTTATTATCCAGAGGGCGATAATATGGCAGTGCGAAAGTGCGATAACGACAATACGACAGTGCAATAACGATAATGCGATTAGTGCGATGTCGACATTGCGATAATGCGATGGCGACAATACAATAGTGCGATAGTACTATCGTGTCGTCGCCGTCGCGGTATCGTACTTTCGCCATCGTACTATCGCGTTGTCGTCATTGCACTGTCGTCATCACATTGTCGTATTGTCGCCCTCTGAATTATAAAGTATTACCACGATGGCCATAACGGTATTCGGTAGATTTCTTTCACGATCAAAATAAATATTTAATTAAGTTTTTTATAACTTCATGGTGTTCATTCACATACATTTGTATAGTGTTTAACGTGTGTTTTAATGGGCAGAGGTACTTACCAATCATTGTAAATTTGTTCAGTAAGAAGTAGTTACTCCCCTTGTTTGTTCTGTCCGAAAAAGTGACTTTTGCCTTAAAGGGATACTCATGCAAATTAATGAAAAACTTTTTTAAATGATTTTATGTACTCAAATCACGGTAAAATGACATGTTTTAAAGTACAAGCATGAACTTCTGTATAAATTCTATATATTTTGGGTTTAAAGCGTAAATATGTGTATATATTTTGAACGAAGTTTAGACACCAACAGAATCACCAAGTAGTTTTAAAACATGTCATGTGACTTGAACAAACCCTTGAAGTTACAATAACATATATTGTGGATATTGTATGATTGAAATAGTCTAAGTCATTCATTTGACATGTTCTTGAACGTTTCCAGAGTTCACTGTGACAACTATTGTGAAATCTAAACGCTTTAACCTGACCCACGTGGGTCAAGTTAGGAAACCACCATTTTATTCTTAAGTTTAGTTCCTGTGACTGCCTAGTGTATTGATTTTGAGATCATTTACAGAATAATGAATGACAAATTCAAAACGAAGAAATGAAAAGTTTGCCTGTGTCTCCCTTTAAGACTTGAAAGTGAGATTTTCGCCCATAACCCTAAGGAAGAACAAAATAACATCATTTAGTTACAAAGAATGTCTAAATTATCCATCTTTGTTCTTATTTCAACAGAACAATGTGTTTAGCATTCGTTACTGGCTCGTGAGTATCGATTGGTTTTATGGAAGGTTATGATTTCATATAATATTGCAGATAACATTTTGTATTATCATAACGTTATAAAGTATTAGCTTGACATTTTAACCTTTGCAGTTACAGAGTATATCGGACTACTAAATGCATGATGCATGTTCAGTTAAAAACTAACACGTTTTTTTTCAATTGTCACAAATATCAGATATAGTATTTTGATATAATATATTTCACATAATGTTTATTTATGTCATTGACATGTTCACTATGTTCATTAGAAAGTCACATTCCGTGCCTCTTTTTGATAAACAAAAAATTGAAGCTTGATATTTATAGTGCATTATAAACCATACCAAAGAAAAACGGTCAACAATTATTGATGACTAGTTAACGCATGGTAAATCTGGTTCTCTGATTTGCATACTTATAGGTCTAAGTTAAATGTGATATTTAAAGAGGAAACTATATATAAGCCGCACCCTGACAAAACCAACATAGTGCGTTTGCGACCGGCATAGACCCAGACCAGCCTGCGCGTCCGCGCAGTCTGATCAGGATCCATGCTGTTCGCTTACAACATCTATTACAAGTAGAGAAACTGATAGCGAACAGCATGGATCCTGATCAGACTGCGCAAATGCTTAGGCTGGTCTGGATCCATGCTGGTCGCAAACGCACTATGTTTGTTTTGTCATGGCGCGGCTATTATGGTGTAAACATTCTTCTTTTTTTTTAATTCGAAACTCCTACTCCTAAAACAGTTTTAGTCACCATCCTGTTTGCACTTCATATCTAGACTGTGTTTTATCTTCAGACAAGCATAATTGAAAGACAATAGCATAAATATTGCTGTTCTATGTTGTTATGATCTTATGATGCTGCTTAACATGTAAATTAGCACCAATAAAGCAATTATACCTTCACAAATCTGTTTGAATATTTTATGAATAAGATAAGATGAGGTAAGAATACTTTATTTTAGTCTCATTCACATTTTATGTACACATACATTTTACATTTACACATCATGCAGTGACCAGTCAATTAATGATTTGTTAGATAATTTGTAAATAAGGTTTACTATAAGGAAATAAAGATAATCAACATAAATCATTATTTGAATATACAAGTAAATGTATTATAACATATACAAGTATATTTTTAGAATGGCACAATGAATCTGTTTTACTCTATAGAATCAATATCAAAGAGTGTTTATTGTATTGACATTTATTATAAAGGAATTGTGAACTTTTTTACAGGATCCGGACAACCGTAAAATACGATGCGTTTCCATAGTGATAGTCACCATCATGCTAATTATAGTCGGCGGCATTGTTGGAATTCTCATGGGATTACTCGATTAACATTTTACACTCAGGACATACATATATACATGTAATAGTGGTTTCCATCTACGTGCATATTTTGTTGTATATCTTGGTGTTTTGAAAGCAATTAATATTTATGTGCGTGCTCATTTTCATGAAAGGAATATAAATACTGCAACAAATCTGGACGTCAGCAAATATGCGCACGCATCAGATCCAATTGGACATTTTCAATTTTGCGATACTGTAAGCATAATATGTGACCGCTTCGGCAGGGAGGTATGCAATGGTGTACCTGTTCGGCAAATATACATATGCATCTGTAGTGAAGTATTCACAAGAGCGTACTTTCGTGGAGAAACATTAAGATGATGTTACTTTAAAATGTTTAGCCATTCTGTTTGGAGATATGAGTGGGATTCAGGTAGTTATGCGCGCGCATCTGTGAGGATGTGAGCAAAACTGCAAACTGTGCGTAGCGTGGTAGGATTTTTGTCCAAAACATGAATATCATTAAAATATATGCAATTAATATATAGCAAGTGAAAAGGTTAATTGATTTTTTTTAAACTTCAATATGGTAGAATCGGGTATTGATACACAATTGAAACTATATAGAAATACATGAATATGATAAATACGTCAATTTATAGTTGGCATAAGCAAACCGACTTAAGTGTTTATGACCTTGACATTTAAGGAATGATTGGTATAAACCGTGTTAATTAAAATTGACTATTCTTTATAATAAATGTATGTATATATTACATATATGCATATACGAAAGTGTATTTCGAAATGCATCAATTGCAAGAATGATTACACAAATTGAGTTAAGAAACATATTATCTGACATTTGCGTGTGATATTATAAACATTATGTTTTAATTGGTATATTAATATGATTTTTATCAACTGAATGTGTTGGTACATTTCAGGGTTAACATGATAAGTGTGATTAATATATTAACATATCACCTTTATTTTCATGTAAATATGCATATCCGAAAAATTGCCTTTAGCCTTACGAAATGCATGGCTATTAAAAAATACATGTACATATCGAATTGATAAAAATGTATTTTATGTATTAAATGTATTAACCATATTCCCCACTATTCCGCCCCTACCCCAATTTATCTAATCGCTTCTTATGTATCTAATTCATTTATAAAAAAAGCTCGCATTGCTATTGAGATAATATAAAGAAAATGGCAATGCTTAGAAATGCATCCTAAATTTATGCTTGAACCTCACATATATTTACATTCTGATCAAAAGCAACTTTAAATAAAGCACCGCTTTTAGATCTGACCGTGACCAAATATATCAAGTCATTTTGGTGACCTTTTACACAGCCACTCATCGGCGAACTTTCATAATTTTGAAAGCGGTGTGGTTTCTAATTTTAACCCTGGAAAAACCTATACTGAGTAGGTTACAACATGGCGTTGTCCATACAGCCGATTGGAAAACTGACAAAACAGTCTTGTCCCTTAAAATTCAAGTAAATCTGTTAAAAATTACCTCAACCTTTTTTTTCTAACAAAAATCAACAATTTGTTTAATTTCCACTGATAACGGTATTTTGATACTTCTTCTATTGCCTTTCCAAAAACTAGTTTGACTGCATGGCTAAACATAGCTTTCTCGGGAAATCCGAATGATAAAAAAGGCGAAACATATACGGTCGTCATCAGATCTACATAAAAGAAATAAGTAGATCTGAATCCTAGGCAGATTGCATATATTTATAGTGTGACATTTACATGTTTATGTCTTCAAAAATGTCATGATTTTAAGATATAATACAAATAATTTTGAATTATGGTGTAACGAAAATGCAACATTTCGATTTCGATTTTTATACGCACGAAAGCCTTTGGGACGAAGTATGTAGTGTGGCATTTTCCGTCCGTCCGTCCGTCCGTCTGCCCGTAGATAATTAGTTTTCTGCAGCATAACTTTTGAAGGATGCTGATGTTGTATCAAAACTCAGGTCAAGTTCGATTTTGGTTTCAATCAAATCGATATTAAAAAAAGTATGCCCCATTTTTGAGCAATTTTAAGTGAAGTTATTGATTCCGCAGCATAATATTTGAAGGATTTCAGTGATTGTGTTTATATTTGAAATTATGGCAAACGTCAAGTCGATTTTTGTTTCAATCAACTCACTATGGGGATATGCCCATTTTAAGCATTTTTTATGTGAATTATTTGTTTCCGTGACATAGCAATCAACTAATTGTTATGTTCGATTTTCACTGCAATCAATTCATTATTAGAGTTATGCCCCTCCCCCTCAATCCTTCTCGTCACAATTTCTGTAAAATTTTTGCTTTCTACAGAGCTTTAAAAGGATTCTATTGAAATCAAATTTGTAAAATTAAATCACGTGTGCAATTATCTCTGCAATCAGCTAATTGCAACCTTGATTTAATAGTTTTTTGTTTTTATCAAGTCAAAATGTTCATAAATTAATATTCTCTTATTAAAACGTGTTACCTAGGAAAAAGATTAAGTATTTTTCTTTAACATTTAAGGAAAATTCATACTTTGAGTTATTTACAAGAATTTGCAGTCTTTCTTTATGGCACTTTTTCCATGACGCCTTCTTGTAAATTTGCCATCGGGCTTATATTGTCCGACCTCAGTGGTGCTCATGTAAAACATGTTCAAAGTGAAGAAAAAATTGTCTTAAATCATGTTTTTGTACTATTTTGTAGTATTGTAGCCAAATAGTAATTGTGTCTGGTTCTCAAAAAATGACTTGTGTTGGTTAAAGCCTTAATTTACCAAGGTTTAAATCCCGTGCCTGCACTCAACAGTGAAACTTGTTTCTCTCTCCATTCATAAGTTAAATGTAAAATGTTTGCTCTAAATGAATGATGTGGTTAACATGTTCTTTTGTTCCTTGGAAACAAGTTTTAAATAGCACTGATCTAGTACATTGGTAACAAACATATCTTTTTTCATATTTTTATATGCTTCACTTATCAGATTTCTATGAGGTTGTTGAGAAATAAAAGTAAAATCTATTTATCTTTGTTCTAATATAACCTTTGATTAATAACGTTTTACATTAAATCCTTACGCAAAGGTGAATGACAATGGGAGATAACTATTCCGCCGATTTGAGATATTAGAAATAGAATAATAGATATTGTCTGTAGGATATCATCAAATGCTGTGACGGCTTGGTGCAAAACGGCCGCTAGGAAGAAAATGAACAAGATGACCACGCTTGTATAAATCAATCGTCCAGAAAGAAAAACAAACCTGTCACGGAAAATATGTGAGGAATAAGATAGGTAGTGTTATCAAGCAGACGACAGTACATTGAATTTCAACGGTTGTTTTCCTTAATCATATAAAGCATTATATTTATTTAATTTCTCTTAGATAACATATTTTTTAATAATACCAAAATATCGGATACCGTATTTGTCTTATGATAAGAAAAGCAATCTGATTGAAAATAAAAATAATCAAATAAAAATAAATAACATCAACACACAATTATTAAAGAGACCAGTATGGGAAGCGGCACGCAGAATGCCTCCTTTTTATAGTCAAATCTAATTTCTTCCCAAACAGTTTATACTCAATTTCATTAAAATCATGTGATTATCACTTCGTGTATAAACTACTTAAAATTTAATGATCTGAGTGTTTTATAACGTTTCTTGTTCTGTCATATGATATTGCAATATTGCGTTTTCTTTGTGTTAATGATTATTATTATGCCTTAGATATCCATATTTTTTAATTTTTAAAAAAAATTCAAACACGTGTTTAATAATGTTTTAATAATGGACTAAGGGCATGCTAGATGAAGTATCGCTGAACTTGTAGTAATGAGTCGTAAAGATAGCAAAATGAAATAAGTTAGTGTTTGACTTCCATACAAAATACTACTTCACTTAACTATACTGATTGCCAAATGAAGCAAAAGCAGCCACAGACAGTTTGTGTGTATTCTATGAAAACTGTAACAAGATGCAAAAACAAAAAGCAAACAGTTTTTGAGAATTAAAAATAATAGCATTTCTGAGACATAATGGGCCTTTAATGCTTATATATGAATAGTGTAAGCCAGTAGACACCTGATTGAAAATGAATAGAGGAATTCAATCATGATTTCAACGAGAATTACGTTATTCGTGATTATTTCGTTTCATTCTGTTTATGATCTCAGAAACGAAAGACTTTGTTTACTTAGTCATTAGTTGAAATTAAAGAACGCTGATTTATCTGTACAGATTTAAATGTTATAATTTTTATGCTAGGAGGAAATATCTAAACAAACACTGAATACAATCTTTAATTGTATTTGAAAAGGAAACGTATAATTTGGAGAATTCGAGTAAGATATCAAGATCCATAATGCCATGTTACATCACATAAAAAAATTGTCGCAGGCAAAAAAGACATTGAATGACAAACCAAATGTCAGTTACATTATAAGACTTTTTGCCATTTGATTATAAAGCAATCTAATCTTATCAACTATTACTCTATGTATATGTTACGTGTAAATTTGGTTTTGGGCATCAAATCCATTTTACGTTGCCGAGAGAAGATACATTATCAAAAGTGAAGATACATTATTAAATTGGATGACTGTATAAAAGTAACTTTAACATTAATTGATGTGGCCTTCATCACAGTGTAAGTCTGTAAAACACTAGGTAGGCAAAACTTCTTTGACTGAGTCTTAATTTGCTTCAGAAATTTAGTTAACCAAAGAAGGATGGACAGGATAGGCAAAAGCAAAAATTGTGCACCAAGAAGACTTACAGTCGTAAAACTTGCATACCCAAAAGTACAAATTCAACGCGGCCTAGTTTATAAGTTTAACACAAAGTTAATAAGACAATAAGACGGTCACGCTTCTAAAGCACAATAGAACTTGGTTAAGGCCATATTAAAATATAAAAAAAACACGAGAATAAATTCGTTTATAATTTAAGTTTTCTCATAAAATTTAACAGCATTGTATTGCATGACTGTACAATAACTGATAATCATGCTAAAAGATTTTATGTGCACGGAATCAAATTAGTTTCAGTACTCCAGATATATTGACACTGTAGAATGTTGTAGAACGTCATTTGATCATTTCAATTATACAAATTCTTTTGGGACTAGTCAATTTTTAAATCAAAGCGCTGAAAGTACTGGGAACAAACCATATAAATAAATAAACAAATAAATAAATAAACAAATAAATAAATAATAAAATAGATAAATAAATAATAAAATATATACGTGTAATAAATAAATAAATAACATAACATAACACAACATAAAACAGCACAACAACGGATGTTTCTTTAATAAAACATACTTTATTCATCTGATACCTGCAGCATGCACATTTTTATCTAAATCTTTTATTCGCATAATGTTTACTATATTAAACATCAATCAGTTACTAATTATTATGATAATCATCGCCTATGAACATGTAGACATTGTCGGTATTCTATTCTTATTGTCTATTCTAGTCAAAATACATCAAATATGTCGGATGTTTGAGGTATAATTATGTCTAACGCCCTTTCAGCTGTCAACCATTTTCCAAATATTGTTGGTATTTCTGAAATGGAAAAGAAATTGTCTTTCTTGTGTGCTATAATCACCTCTCTTTGTGTGATAACCAAATGAGCTTTATTTTAAAATAGGATCCTTGTCATCTCATGTCAACCATAGCTATATTTTCTTCAAACTAATGCAAACACTTTACTCATATACATGTATAATTTATTGGTCAAAGGAGGAATATATACACCAAAACACACAAAAACAACATCAAATTATGCGGCATTGTATAAATTGACTATTCTATGGTGTAAGAAATTTAAGCACATGGGAGATATATTTATATCACATTTCAGAGACAAGTACTTACTTCCATATATTTTGCTTCCTTGGCCGCTACATATACCCATGTATATAGAGGTTTGAACTCCAGGGCAAGTCGACTGTACATTACTGACTTCACTCCATCTTCACTCATTCTTACTTTTGCAGACTTTAACAGGGCAATTCTTAAAAACATATGTCATATATCAATGCACAAAAAATAGCTTAATAATAAGGTCATATAAATGAAAACCGTATCAGAATTTCTTGATTCATATAGCAGAAATACATTGGGACTACTACTTTATCATTGAATGGTAAATCAACCAATCCAGCGATGTTTCCAGCTTTTAAGGAGCGTGAATCAATCCGTTATTAAAAGACATAGAATTTATGCATTTGCTTTATTGTCTAATAATAGCATGTAAGTATTAATTCGAATATTAAGTACATGTATGTTTATTTCTGTTAATTGATCAAAGATAAATGGTAATACCTGTTTGGATTTTGAGGATTACTGGAATCTTTGCCATGATCTAATGCAAGAAATCCCCCTATCTGCTCGCGCGGACGAGCAAAGTGCTGCTTCGTTGCTATAATTCTAAAATAATATAAAGATTATAAAATGTCGCATCAGGATTACTGCTAACATAATATGCTTACATGTTAATGTTAATAATAAGTGGTCTAATTTACAAAGTAGTTTTTAATCAGATGATATCCTCATTACTGTTTATCTAAAAGTGGATCATATAATTATCTGAAATTTAACAAAGGTGTCATCACAGACGAGGTATATAATTTGAAAATATGCCCTTTTCAAGTTGAAGGAACTGTTGAAAATTCCCAAATTATTCTGAAAGACTTCCCAAAGAATTGTGAAATCCACCAATCAGCTCATTTTTTTATGAAAAAAAAACAACAACAAAAACAACAACTTATTTTATATAACTATGCGTATTGTAATATGATAAAATGTTAATGCACCGGTATGTTTTATATAAATTTTCCCCACTTTCTTACGACAACAACGGTAATCCTTTAAAATCTAAAAGGCATAAGTTGTTGCAAAAAAGTTAAGTTATATCAGGATGATAATTTTACCTGTAGACCATGTCATCATCTTCGGCACCCCAACCAAAATACAGATTCGAAAAACCATTCACTTTCCAGAACTGGTCGGGTGTAAATGCCTCCACTCCACCAAAATACGCTAGATATGGTAATCTAAATGTGAAAAATTATATGTTTGTTAGGAACTTGCCAATCATCTAATGAAATATACAGCCGTAATCGATGGTTATGACGCTTTTAGACTTGTATGGCAGAAAATAATTTTTATGTTATCGCGTTTGTTAAGAAACATTGATTACCATTCTTATTTATCTCAAACCATTTATGGAATTTATAGTTGCACTGAATTCATAGAAACACGGAATTTATCAAGTAGATTTTTTATATTTTGTTCTGTTCCGACTCGTTTACTATGTTCCGCGTTTCCGATGGTACTATCCAAATGTTCATCCAAGCCCAAAAACCTGGAAAATTGCAAGGTTAACTTATTTGTTTAAATTTTCCTTGAATTTCTTTCAAAGAAAATACCCTTGAAGCTGCATGCTCTCTTCATTATGCAAATGTCGGTCGTGTTGAAATAAGCATTTTACTTTCATAAAAACTTTTCTTTCGTCGCATGATGTTTTATCATGTTATTTCATGATATAATTCTATCATAAAGATATTCTATTCGAATAATTTGTGTATAAGATTAATCAGGACTTATTCTTACTTGTTTTCAAATTTTGAGTTCGAGGCTGTGAGATGTCTAGGTACACGACCACACCTATACATGTTCCTGTCGTCTTGCACGAGGAGATCTACGTCATGTATGATGTAACAAGTGTAAGTACCGGCGCTTGATGCTGTCAGGAAGCCAACATTAGCCAGTAGACCACGATTGAACTGTGTCGGGAAAGCCTGTTTTAAAATGAGCTTTATCATTATTTTATCAACACCATATATTGTTCCAGTTTTATAGACAAAAGAAGATATGAAAAACTTATATATAAAATGCTTTATAATACTCATTTCAATAGATCTGAACAGATCTTATATTTAGTCTGAAATGTCAGGCCAGTTAATAAAACAAGAGCTGTCAGTATGATTGTGTGCTTGACTTTTCTCAGTGCTTGATAGTAAAACAAATGCCTGGATATTGTAGAAGTCCATAAAAGGGCCATAATTCTGTCAAAATCCATGTTAGAGGACAGTAACCAGCAATTATGCTCTCAAATAAGTACGTGAAGTTTCAACCCATTCCCTTTAGTAGTTTTGCCGATACTAGCTTAAACGTAAAAACTTATCCAAAGTGTGACACCGACGCCACCAGATTAATGCTATTAAAATTTTGAAAATACATTGTATATCTCAAAGTAAATGTTTGCGATGTGAACAAAGAAAGTAAATAACATTTACAATCTACGAAAATCACCAAAAAGAGGTCAAAATATGTAATACTAGCCCTTACTGCGTATATAAGGCAGTAGAAATATAGTGGTCAATACAGCAAAATCAGTAATTAATCACAAATAGCATGTAAATCATTACTTGACTCTTGAATTCTTAAAATCTTAGTTCATTTTTTCAGGTTTATTTCTTTTTTGGCATGCAGCTTTAAAAGCCTAACAATTTCTTGTAAATATTTAATAACAAAGGTAATACTACACAAATTAAATAACAAATTGAAATAAAAATGTTTTATAGAATGTCATCATTTAGTTACCATTTCAACGACAAAAATTCCATATTCTATCTTCTGTCGCTGTAGAACTATATGTAGATGTCTAAGTAAAACCTGAAATAAGATAAATAAACTAAATATTTAAAAGCAAAATTTACAGAAGTTATACCATTATTTGTTTATGTTATCTTTATCATAGTTAACTTTTACAACTGAATGAACAATATTTATATAAATATTATAAAACATTCAGTTATTCATAACGAATAGTTATCAAATATGTGGATATTTTTCATTCGTATGTTATTACTTCGTGTAGGTAAAAAGGCCATTACTCTGTGAGAAATTATTATACTTTTTTTTTAGATTTATGTCCCTTACCTTTGGTTTGTTTTGACTCTATACGGAATTATAACACATACGTCTATGTTATCTCTAAGGAATTATTTTACCTACTTTTAGATTTGTGCTTCTGACTCTATAAGGAACTATAATACTTACTTTTGTAACGACGGTAGTACAACATCATAACACTGACAATGAGCATAATTTTAGCTGGTAAATTAACATAAGTGAATGTTTCCCATATAAAAGGCACACAAACCACTTGGTGGTGAGCAGCTTTTCAACAAACAGGGTATGTTGTGCCTTTAAAACCCGTTACACTTTAAGTTTGTCTGCCCGACTCCATGTTCTATAATAATTGGACTTCCCTTTTTAAAATTATTGAGCCCTTGGCTCTATAAAGAAATCTATGTTTCTCATATTTTTCTTACATTTTGGGGGTCTTGCCTCCTTTCAGGGTTTAGAACTTGTTCTCCTTATTTCTGTAAGGAATTATTATTCTTACCTTTAGATTTGTCTCCCTGTCTCTGTATGGTATAATTATTGCAGTTCTCTCCCTTGGATCACAGTCGACAGGTTTAAATTTCCCTCCATCTTTTATCAACTTTAGATTTTCTTTTGGAATGTCGGTAAGTTTTGACATCTGCTCAACTTGCATTGGTCCCACTAAATATACATTAGATAAAAATGCTCTACAAGATCTAAACAGACAACTTACGAATTAAAACATTACAAAATTTATTCGTGAACACTTATATATCATACTAATTGTGCACAATCACGTTTACTATTTGACTTTCACTCAAAATGTTATAAATGTTTTGAAGTTAAAGATATTCTGCAAGTACATAGAGGGAATCATTACCGGTAAACAGTGTCATTTATAGTGTCATTGTATTGAGTTTATTTTATTGAACAGGATAAAAAAGACATGCATTTTTTCCTTTCACCAATGAATCACTTTGCTAAATTATCTTAAATTTTTCTCTTTATAGAACTGGTCTTACTGAGATTGTAGTTGTCCAGACAGATAAAACAAAGAAAACATAAGTTAACGGTGTCACGTGGACCGTATGAATCGAAGGCTTGAATATTTTACTTTGCTTCGTTGTGTATATAAAAGTAAGGAAGTAAACATTTTGACTCTCTATTAAGTACTATAATGAAATATCTGATATGATGATAAACATACCTAGCTCGGGTGGCCACAGGGGACAATAATTTGGTCTTTTAGAATTCCTTTTGCGAAAAGTTTTTCTCCGTCCAGTCGTAAAATTTCTATCACTATGTATATCATTAATTATAGATGAATCATTATATTTGGAAATATTTACAGACAGTAAAGAAGCACCAAAATCATTTACATGAGGTAATCCGTTCTCAATGGCGATTGCTTTGCTTGCGTTTAGAGAGACATCGTCTGTTACATTAGTAGCCCTCTTGTCAACGGTTATGTTACCATCACTTACATTTTCATGCTGAGCTAGGATGGTCAATGTTTCACTTTTGTTAAAACGTTTTGAATCGTTTAGATGTTGGAACGTTTCTTCTGCTGTAACATTTTTAGTCGTGCTACTATTTATTTCACTATATGATCTTATAACACTTTGAACTATCTGACTAGACGTTATATTAGAAGAATTGTACTTATTGAGAATCATACCATCTTTTCTTGAGACATTATAACCGGCCCTCATTAAGTCTGTCCCTGAGGTGTTATTGAACGGCCCTCTTGTCATAAATATCATGTCTAGATTTATATCACTTATAATAATATTCCCTTTTCTCTCAGATGAATCCAGTGGAAGATTTAGTTGGGACACAATTTGAATATAGACTATAGTAGTGAATATTATGATCACTGAAAAGAACAGGCTATAAAAACTTCCAACTTTCACATGACGTATTGCTCGTCTTACTTCCGGAAACAATGATGCCATTTCATGACATTTAGCCTCCTACACATCTAAACATCGTTCCTGAAAAAAAGTTTGGAAATATATCTGAATATGTAACTTGTTATCGTGGTTCAATGCATGGATTGAGGTCCGGTTAAGCATCAACATATTCTGACAACTTCTATTGTACTTGAATTGAATCACGTCTGTACGTGAGATACTTATTATAACACTGATTTTGTCCTAAGGAAGACGATGTTTATATAATTAGTAAACTGTATGTGACTAAGTTAATGATTTAACTGTACGGATTTAACTACAATGAAGGACTTTGACGATAAATTGGATGAACTTTTTACTCATTCCTTTAACTAACTTCAAGAATATTCAGGCTATTATTTAAAGGCAGGTTTGATATGATGATGGAAGTTAATCAAGTCAAGTCAAAAACCATTTATTTCACTCATTCCATGTGAAAACACGGATATTAGGTTAATTGAGGCTCAAATAGCAGTCAAGTTACATAAGAAAGGTCTAAACTTAAATAAATAATCTAACATTTAATGTTGAGTTGTATATGAATGTCACTTCTTTATATATAGTGAACAATGACGTTCAATTTTTAAATAATAATGTACAGTTGAATAATATATTTCAGACATAATCAGACTCTTCAGAAAACAATCTGTGGTTTAATCAAAATGCGAAATAATATTAATGTTTTTCAACGAAAAAAGAGACTTACTATTTGCTATTGTTAAGGTTTTATTTTATAACGTTTTCCTATTTTGTGACACAAAGTGACTCATATTAACAACAGAGATGCCATATTTCCATTTGTCAGTTAAGCCGGTGATGCATAGATTCCGAGTGCAAAATGTTATCGTGCAATGTAGTTACATTTCAAAGCGAAGGGTGCAAAAGAAGGGCGCAGTCAAAAATGCTTTATTTACCTTGTATGCATGGTTAGCTTTCGGAAATGTTAGCATTTCTTAATGTTTACTTATAATATTGGAAGGATATATTACTATAAGTGTATTGCATATCATATTGTATATCAATACCAAAGTATTGTTAAATATTTAATGTGTCAATATAACTGGAGAATATTATTGTATTAAAACGTACCTCAACATTTTATATAATAAAGGATTCGTCTTATGAAACACATGTCATATAATTATCATTTTTGAATCATATATGTAAAGAGTTTTTTGGCACTTCAAACACTTTAGCGGAAAGATAAAAGTTAAGAAATATCAATTTAAATTTTAATTACCTGAACACCTTCTGTTATTGTACGAATTTTATTAAACATTCACTGAGCATACATATTTATATTCATTATATATTCCAATGCAATCGCATCATCCTTTAAGAATCCGTGTAAAATATTAACATTTGGTTTACCGTTCAGAAAAAAAAAAAACATAAAAAACGTTACAATGTTTATCAATTTTATCTCAAATATCACAGTATTTGTTCTTATATTGGCCACGTCTATATACTTGAAGACATTTGATACAAAGACAACTATAAAAGTTAACATTTATTGAATGGGCTGTAATTTAATCATTTAAAACAACTTAGACTATAGATCAATAACCACGTTAAATAGGATATTACAAATAAACTGCATTGTACACAAGACACTCCGGTTTGATTGTGTACAATATATATAAATACAATTAAATCGGGAATTTTAGTATACCAATTTAGTTTCTTGTTTTAAAAAGCACACGGGGTTCTATTTTTCAACTCACTTACTTTCTTTATTATTTTTTATTCTACTTTTTATCTATCTTATTTATTTATTTATTCATTCATTTATTTATTTACAATAAAAATACAGCACATGTACACTTTTTAAGCATCTGATCCACTTAACTCACTCAAAAGATTATCTATCATGCAGTCTTTGATAATTACATAACATACATTACTGTCCAGGACGTACATCGGTTTATATGCTGTCAAGATAATACAATGTAACCAACTATTTCATGTCGTAAGCTATATAACATTCTAAAATCTCGGATCAAGGCCGTCTATTTCCCAGATGTTTTTATTTGATATAACGTGTGATAATTGTAGTTATCTCCCTTGAACCAATATCGTAATGTTTCACATTTCCTCAATGGTAAACGTTTAATGGCCATACGTCATACATATTTGTCTCGTTTTAATAGAATTTGATTAACAAAAAATTAGAATGCGATAAAAAGAATCCTATTAACTAGGGGCCCCTCCCGCGAATGAAATGAAACCTATATGTGTTAAATAGTGGTTTCTGGTGCATTTTAAATTCAAACTTTAAAACACAAGTGTCGATATTCTTATAGAAAATTTCAAACTTAAAAACATACCAGCAAACGTGGTAATTTCATTTCTATCTTTGAAAAATAATCCAGCTTCTGATGCCCTTACCGGTACACAATCTTAAATTAAAGGGGATACATTTTCCCTTGGACAAATGTATATTATATTTCATTTTTTCTTTAAAAAATACGGCCCTAAACAATTTTCGGCGTTAAATGTTAGACAAATTATTTATAGATCTACATTGACTGGTGGTTTCTGATGCATTTTCAGGTGCACAATTTTATGTTTCACCAGAAAAATTCAGACATGCAAGGTTGCTTTAACTGAACTTTGTAATATAACTTCGGAATGATCGGCTTACAATATCGCGCATAAATCGTCATAATCAATTTATTTCGTCAGGACCGCACTGGTCAGAACTATGTACAAATCTTGAAATAAAAGTTCTGTCAAAAGGGATTGACGGTTTAAAATAACAACATGCACTGCAGTCTACAATACAGCCAACATTAGGGCTTAATTTCTATTTCCAAGCGTGTTCGGTATGCAAATTTAATTAATTAAGCATCGAGCTTTAATAAAAGTCTCTGATTGAAGTATAAAATGTAAAAATTAACCCTTCAAAGGATACAAAATGTATTCAGCATCATTTTTTAATACACATGTGTGACTATAAAGTAAAGGTTCAAACAAAAAATATCAAATTAAAAATGATGATAATAAAGAATAGCAGTTAACACTTTTTCATGTGATAACATTTGGAAATTTCTGAGGAAATGTAAAAACCTGTACATGTGTATTTGAAAGTGTGCACCTAAAATACATTTATTATATTTCTTTATTTCTAGATATCTATTTACATTGTTATCCTTTTTTTTTTAAAAAATCACATATTTTTATAACAACAAAGACAAATACTTTTTATTGTACATATATGTAGATCAGCGCCTTCCCTTACATACTCACTCAAACCAGTAACTAGACCAACTCGATTTTCCCACTCCCTTGTAAACAAATTTAAACAACTTCTGACAGTACAAATACTTATTCTTCCCCAGGCCCATTTCTCATTGGAATGCCTTGTCCCTAGATGTTGTCATCTTGTCTGGGCCCATTTTCAATAAGGCTTAAGCTAAGTCAGGTGTATGAATATTTCACTATAAATATACACTGCCTTGCCTTTATCCATTTCAAACATTTTATCTCACTTTTAAACCTCTGTTTTATCCTTCTTTTCTAATGACTTGCAAAATACACGTCTGACTACATGGAAGAGTGATAGAATTATTAGTGGTGTTCACCCGAAGTTAAGTCTAGGTTACACGACATGTAACTTTTACGGTGCAAATGCAAGGGACAGAACTCACGACATAACGGAAGTTGTAACCGGCAAAGTAAGTCGTGGCAATTTATTTTTTAATTTTTGAAAGTTTGTGAAGATTAAGCTTTTGATTTAGAAAAGTTCTGTTAGAAAATTTAGTAAATCTGATTTGCGAATGAATTTTACCTTTTACGTTTCGAAAGAAACTGTTTATTTATCAACTTCCAATGTTTGACGTGGCAGTGGCCCACTGAGTGGGTGGGGTATAAATCATAACGATATTTGTTAAAATACTGGCTACGTAGTGATTTAGATTGTAGGATTTATACTTCAATCTTTATAGTTTTACATAATTTTTAGCAGATCTCTTATAAAAAAATGGTGAATGATATAGTTTGGACTAATTTTCATAATTTATCAGATCTACATTAGCTGTTTGTGTTCTGTTTAGTCTTTAGATTAAGATTTATAATTAGAGTCAAGTAAAATTTATTTTTAGTCGGATTATATAACAACAAAATTGTTATATTATCAGGTTGTGTGTATTCAGTGATTCATTAGAGTAAGACAGATTATTTTGAAATTTCTTGCAAACCATGTTTCCCCTAGTAGAAAAAACTCGGTACGTTACGATACCGAAATCAACTTGATTTCGGTAAAGTTACCGAAATCAACTTTTCATTACCGAAATCAACTTATAAAATCACAATTAAGCGTTTTATTATATTTTTTTCATTATTATATATTACAATAGGTTAAGTTTGACTTTCATGCAAAAAATCAGTTCGAAATAATCATTAATAATGATATTAGAAACAAATAACTAAATATCAAGATTATTCCCTGATTTGTCACGAACCGAAATATATGTTACAATACCGAAATCGACTTGTAAAATCACAATTAAGCGTTCTATTATATTTTTTTCATTATAATCTATTACAATAGGTTTAGTTTGACATTCATGCAAAAAATCAGTTCGAAATAATTAATAATTATGAAATTAGAAACAAATACCTATATTTCAAGATTACTTCCCTGATTTGTCACGAACCGAAATATATGTTACCATACCGAAATCGGCTTGTAAAAGTTAAACTAAACATTTTCATAGATCTTGTTTAATTAATTAATATAAAATCATTCAAACTGAACCATAAACATAGGAAAATAATATTTAATTATAAAAAATGATGATGTTATAGACGGATATGTATATTATATCATGATTACTTCCCTTGTTATTAATGTGTTGCATTACCGAAATCAAATCAGATTTCATTTCAAAGATGAGAATAACCCCTAAAATATTTGCATGAATTTCAGAAGTCTATAAAAAAGGTATTTGAGTGAGTTTTAAACTTTGAATTCATATCGCTTATTTACAATGTTTAGTCAGATAACATTGCAGCGTATCATCTCTTTGATGTTTCTTAATGATTTCAAAATACAAGATTAAACAAAACTGTGTTTGAAGTTATCCGCCTAATTTAGATCACTATTAAAATAGTTGATTGGAAATTATCACAGAATTTAATTTAAATCCAATGATTATGATTTGATTAAAATAAAAAGACGTAGCGGTAGCCATTCATCATAACACCTTTACTAATAAGGAGCAAGCATACACGTGCTCGGACAATGGAGGTGTTAGTTGACATAATTAACATACTCGTTAACCGCAATCCTTTAATATATACATCGGCGCATGGAAACTTTAAAGTATCCAAACAACATAATTAGACATAATTATTTTGCATGAAAATAAAGCTGCTTGTCTCCATTAAGACAAAAAATACATTACAGTTTAATATAAAATGACGTATAGCGACCATCCCTATATAATATATATCAAAAGACTTTTTTTATAGTTCTATATTATACATATTTCAGATCTAGTAAGCTGGTAAAAATATAATTTTATATTAAATAAATTGTCAAAAGACCGGTTTTAACTAATTTGTAGGGGTGGCCGTAGAAAACATTTCGGTATATGAGACAAGGTGCTTTGATATTATTATTACCAAATTGCATATCAGTTGTTCCAAAAATGTATGCAATTTTTTGATGTCCCGGATACTTAACTACATATTCTACTTATTGAAAAAGTTGTTAAGTCATGATTTTATGTTGATCGATTTAAAATCATTTTAAATTTCATATCTGTAAACAGCATAAATTTATGGAATGACTGGTATATATTTATATGATGAAAAAAAGGAACACTTTTTACTGACAAATTTCAATTATGAAATGTTGTAACTTGTACGATATGACATGCTGTGTATGACTGTATTAAGTAAGGTGTGAAGTAATTAAGACAGGAGGTACAGTTGACATATATTGTATGTAGATTATAATGAACCATCTGTTTATTTCGTTTTAAACATTTAAGTAAATGACTAAAATATAAAAATATTATAATAAAGAGTCCCCATAACATATGTTAGTGATTTGTTAATATATAGTTAAACTGTTCAATAAAAGAAAGATACAAACTTTCAAATTTCCAATTTTACTGCCTGATACATCATACAATTTTTATGGAACATTTTTAGAGCAGTCGAATTGTATATCTGTATTCAAATTTATAATAGAAAATCATAAACTTCCGATTGAAGTTGAATATTTTTTCTTCATAAAACATAAACATGTACAAAATTTATAATTATCTTTAACTCATATTACAGAATATTTTATTTTTCCATCATAGTCCGATCATAGCTTTTTAAAAATACGATTTTATTTAGAAAATTGTTATGCACGACAATCACGTGCAGATATATAACATGCTAATATGGCGGTATCAGACTTTTTCTTAAATCATTATATACATTGCATTCTAATATGAAATGGTACTAGTCTTCTAAGACATTACATGAAAAACATTTTCTATCATTTAAAGGTGTACTATTTGGTTTAGTCCATCTACCTGAGTCTATGTGCAATCTATGAGATGATACTCTTAACGTAGTGAGATCTTTACAAAACCGTTCAACATTGATAATATTTAGATATGGTTGAAACTTAAAAACAGAAATATGTCTATAAAATAGAGCTCTACTAGAGTTATCTAATCTACTATCTACTAATTATATACATAATTTAAACTTCACCGCTGATTTCGGTAATGCTAAACACATAACGGGTTGTTTAGAACAAAGGCTAGTAACTCAATAATTACATTTTTGTTAATAACATCATTAAAATAAAATATTTTCAATAGATTTTTTAACTGAAAGTCTATTTCACTATTTTTCATCAAATAATGAAAAAATAATAGCAATATTTTAACTAGGTTGGTTTTTACGAGTTGATTTCGGTAATGCTAAACACATAACGGGTTGTTTAGAACAAAGGGAAGTAACTCAATAATTACATTTTTGTGAATAACATCATTAAAATAAAATATTTTCAATAGATTTTTTAACTGAAAGTCTATTTTACTATTTTTCATCAAATAATGAAGAAATAATAGCAATATTTTAACTAGGTTGGTTTTTACGAGTTGATTTCGGTAATGAAAAGTTGATTTCGGTAACTTTACCGAAATCAAGTTGATTTCGGTATCGTAACGTACCCGAAAAAACTGAGACATTTTAAAAGTTTTCATCATGTATTGTAAATCATGCCAGGAGTACTTAAATGCTAAAACTTAAGTCTTTGTTAAATCTTACATAGTGAAAATTATTTGGGACAATAAACTTTTTTGGTAAATTTACATACAGTCTTACTGTCTTTCTTTCCATTGAACAGAAAATAAAATTTTTTTAAAAATGTTTAATATATTTCATTTTGCAAGAACAATGTAACATAATGTAAGCAATATTATATTTGTTTCATTTTAATGAGACTTGCAATCTCAGATCTATATAAAGACTTTTATTTTAGTTATGTAGAAAATTATCTACTTCTACAGTTGTATTAGAAATAACTAAAAGTTTGTAATTATAAATTATTATACTTTCAGTTGATTTTATTTTCAGATGAAGATCCTGTCTATGTTTGTTATCTTGCTTCTTGCAAGTTTCCAAGGTTATCTTGCTGATGATGAAGGAGAAGCAAGGCTTCTAGCATCTAAGAACATCCTTAATCAATACCTTGTTGAAGATAAAGACCTGACAGTTGAATATAGAATATACAATGTTGGTGGAAGGTAAGGTTAACTCATAAAAAACTTCACTATTCATTAATTGTTTCCATAATTGTTTGATTTGTACATTATTGATGACTGCATAGCTGATCTAATTATATATTTTAGAATGGACTGTTCAGTTATTATATTTATAGCAAGTTTCTCTTTGAAAAATATTTTTTATGTTTATATGTTCCATTGTAATTGATAATTTAATAACTGTTATATTGCTTCCTCAAAATATAAATTTATTTTTATTTTTTATTTTTTTTTTCAAAATATGGTTGTTTGTTAAAAAAACTATATTTCAGTAAATTCTTTCAGGTATAAAAGCGCCTTTTTAAAGGAAATGGCATAGCTTTCTTTTTATACATTGTACTTTCTAAATCATATTCAAACCACATTTCCAGTTATTGGGTTAAACAATTTATGTCCAATACAGGTATGCCTTAAGTCATATTTCATATGTGAAACAGAAAGAAATGGTATTTAATCATGAGGATTTCACTATAATTTCTTTTATCTATCATTGTTTTAATTAAATTTCAGTGCTGCACAGAAAGTTCGACTTAGTGACGACAGTTTCCCTGAGGCAGATTTTGCAGTTGTTGCTGGTAATCTAGAAGCTTACTGGGAAAGAATTGCTCCGTATCCTTTTCTTTTTTATTACAAATTATAAATAACTGATTGATGTTGAGAGTTATTGAATTTTTCAATCATATCTATTTTGGAGTAAAGACATTATTTTACCTGGTATGGTATTAAAGGGATTCAATTGAGTTTTTTTGTTGACAGGACAAGACTAGAAATATTTTCTCAAGGGTTTTATACGATGTTATATAGGTCTACCAATAACTTTTGTGCAAAATTTCAGGCCATTTGCTCATTCATTGTGTAAAACCACCTTAAAATTAAAAGCAAGAAATCATAGACCTACTTAATACTGATTTTCAATTTAATTCTTGTTAACTTTATTTTTTTTCTTTTTCATATTTTTATTTTTTAAAAGTCCCATTTGATATATGTTATAAAACTGTTATAACAATATTTTCTTTTACCAGGTGAATTATTTACTGGCAAAAATTAGGGCTGGGAGAATCAAAAGATCTTATTTGATAATGAAATAGCTAATGTTTATTTATTTAGTTTGGTGTAAAGTGAGTCCCTTACTGTTGGGTCATATTGTAACAGGGTTCTCGGGGACGCTTATTTCGGCGTCCCGGTACGCATGTTTATTTAAGATGGACGCAAATATTTCAGAGCAAGGATTCCACGTACGCTTAATTTTGCCTGGGGACGCATAAACATTACCGATTGTTTACAACCACAAATACACAAAATACGTCAGCGCGTGTCAGTCGTATAGGTAGGCGGTCCTATGCACATCGACCCGTGAAGCGATTAGCCAATCAGCAATAACGCTTCCGATCATTATCACGTAATATTGATCAGACCAATGTATACACGCGCTCTACAGTACATTTAATATAACACGAGGTGATAATTTTATATCTTTGATCAACAGTTGATTGGAAATTAGCAAATTTTACCGACAAAATGATAAAATTATCGACTATTTACGCCGCAAGTTTAAAGATTGTTTTCTCAAATTACAAATGAGTGTAATTTTGAATGATTGTCGAATATTTTCGGCATTTTCTAGGCACAATTTTGCTTTAGTTTCATTCATATGAGAGTATTAAGAATTTAATATATTGTGCCGAAATGCCAGGACAACAAACCAAAATACACATACGCTTTTCTTTGATATTTAGATTCTATCCGAAAATTGATCCCTAACATCGGCGATTTCATGTTCGCCAGAAACCCTAAAATTTCGCAAAAATTATCGGTTTCCAAGCCAAACATGCGAATGAATTGTTCCTTTATTATTTAATCAACATTAAATCTTTAAATATCGATCTTCAATTTGCCCCCTTTTGAAGATATTTGCTAAAATAATTGTCGATCGGATGAATCTCTTACACACTGTGTGAAGCTGTACACGATTTTCCTATTCATTCCGCTAAACGCTGCCTATATACATTTACGTTTTTTTTTTCACAAATATAAACTTTTTGTGTTTAGAGTGGACTTATTTAACCAGAATAAAATTTGATTTGGTATAAAAGTGGGAAAAAAACAATTTCCATGTGTTGATGCATTATAATGAAATAATTTCATAATTAATATTTCAACAATATTTTAATTCAATATTAACAACAAAACAATAATTACACTATGTATTTCAGAGTTTCTTTTGAATAACTATAAACTTTGGAGTCCCTTGAAGATTCAAAATATCAGCAATGCTATTGTGAACATTGAATGACTAATCTGTAAACATTAATTGCGACGTGCTTTTGGACTCCAACTTTTTTAGGGTTGGGAGTCCATGGACTCCATGTTTTAAAGTCCAAGTGAGAACCCTGTTGTAAAAGTAGGAGGGAGACCTCAGTTGTGTATTACTTCACATGCTTATTAGTCCCCTACCGGTTTACCGGAGGGGACTATAGGTTTACCCTCCGTCCGTCTGTCCGTCCGTCCGTCCACAAAACTTGATCCCACGATAACTTGAAAAGTACTAAAAATATTTTTATGAAACTTGATATATGGATAGATGGCAGTATGGAGATTATGCACGTCTTTCTCTTTTCTTCCTCTGTTGAAAATTCTGGTTGCTATGGCAACTAATAGGCTGAAAATATGGCAAATTTTACACATAAACTGGATCCAGTGATAACGCAAAAAGTACTGGAAATATTTTTATGAAACTTGACATATGGGTAGACAGGGTTGTCATTAAGAGGCGGCAGGAGGCCAAAATGCCTGTCTCAAATGCTTTATGGGCCGCCTCAAAATTAAGAAAACACTCTTTGTTATGCACGATAAAGACAGAAATGACAGCCTCAAGTTCAAAACAAACCTTCTGCAAAAAATGTTAATGACAACCCTGGGTAGATGGCAGTCTGGAGATTATGCACGTCTTTTCCTTTTCTTCCTATGTTGAAAATTCTGGTTGCTATGGCAACAAATAGACTGAAAATATGGCAAATTTTACACATAAACTGGATCCAGTGTTAACGCAAAAAGTAATAGAAATATTTTTATGAAACTTGTAATATGGGTAGATGGCAGTCTGAAGATTATGCACGTCTTTTTCTTTTCTTCCTATATTGAAAATTCTGGTTGCTATGGCAACACATAGACTGAAAATATGGCAAATTTTACACATAAACTGAATCCAGTAGTAACTCAAAAAATACTGGAAATATTTTTGTGAAACTTGACATATGGGTAGATGGCAGTCTTGAGATTATGCATGTCTTATCTGTTCTTCCTATTTTGAAAAAATATTGGTTGCCTTGGCAACAAATAGGCTTAAAACATGGCAAATATAACAATTTTTGTGATTTGTCAAAAAGAGCTGAAAATTTGTATGAAATTGCATCTTTCATTCAAGAATTTTGCTTTTAAAATGTTGTATTTTGGTAACAGGGATGTTTCAAATATTAACTTTAGAGTGTCCTTCAGTCCGTCTGTCTGTCTGTTCATAAAAACTGTTTCCTGTGATCACTTTTAAAAAACTTTTCCAACAAATTTACTTAAAATAAAGAAAAATTGAAACATTAGTGAATGGCCAATGGCCCTTCAGAATGTTGATGGGGTTCTAACCGGTAGGGGACTTATGGATTGCTTGCAATACTATGATAATTGCTTGTTCTTGATGGGAAAGCAAGCTAAACCACTAGACTGTAGAGGCCTCAGTTAATGTAAAGGTGTGCATAATGTATTAATATGATCCTTGACTTATATATAGAAACACAAATGTTACCCACTCTGTCATCTTGAAACCACTGAACTTTGGATATTTCAACTTTACCGCCGCAGAAGTTAGCTATTCTTCAAATGATGATTTTGATAAAAGACAGGTAATGTGTAGCAAATATTTATTTATTTTTTATATTGGAACATTTATGAGAGATGCTTTTAATTTCTATTAAGATACCAAGTTCAAGCATAAAAACTGTGCTCGCAGGTGAACATAATTGGAGAAGAAAGCCCTTTCTTTGTAAAAGTGTGCCTGAATACATGTGTTAAGTGTACAGAACATGTACTAGTATCCTTAATGTTCAAGTCATTTGATTAATGAAAATTTGTTTTATTAAATCATCACTGCTGGTTTAAATGATTTTTGTGGTATAAGTAGTTTTTATTTCGGCGGAGGATATAGAAATAGTCTCCGTCCGTCCGACATTATTGTCCGGAGCAAATCTCTAAAAGTATTTGAGTTATCAACTTGAAACTTCATAGGTGGATAGACCTCATTGAGGAGGAGTGCAGTGCACAAGAATGATAACTCTACCTTGCATGATTTTTGAGTTATTGCCCTTTGTTATTTTTCAAAATTGATTTTTGTCCAGAGCATAACTCCAAAAGCCTATGAGATATTAACATGAAACTTCATAGGTGCATAGATCTCACTCAGGAGTTGTGCAGTGCACAAGAATGATAACTCTACCTTTTATAATTTTTGAGTTATTGCCCTTTGTTGTGTCGCCTCTACGGAGTAGTGGCGACATATAGGGATCACTTCTCCGTCGTCTGTCTGTCTGTCTGTCCGTCCGTCCGTCACAAAACTTGTCCGGACTACTTCTCATAAACAACTGGTGCAATTTCATCCAAACTTTACAGGAATGATCAGTACCAAGTCTAGTTGTGCATATTGTCAGGATTTTCCGGTTCAATGATTTTTGTCAGAGTTATGGCCCTTTAATAATTTTTAATTTTAAAGTTTGTCCGGACTACTTCTCTTATACCACTAATGCAATTTCAATGAAACTTTACAGGATTGATCTGTAGCTCAAGTCCTTGCTCATATTGCACGGGTTTTCCGGGTTGAATGATTTTTGGCCGAGTTATGGCCCTTTTGATAAAAAAGGTTTCTTTTTTCTGTGTGTTGCCAGATACACAAAAGCTTGTCCGGACTACTCCTCATAAACTACTGGTGCAATTTCATCCAAACTTTACAGGAATGATCAGTACCAAGTCTAGTTGTGCATATTGTCAGCATTTTCCGGTTCGATGATTTTTGTTTGAGTTATGGCCCTTTAATAATTTTTATTTTTAAAGTTTGTCCGGACTACTTCTCTTATACCACTAATGCAATTTCAATGAAACTTTACAGGATTGATCTGTAGCTCAAGTCCTTGCGCATATTGCACGGGTTTTCCGGTTGAATGATTTTTGGCCGAGTTATGGCCCTTTGATAAAAAGGTGTTTTTTTCTGTGTGTTGCCAGATACGCAAAAGCTTGTCCGGACTACTCCTCATAAACTACTGGTGCAATTTTATCCAAACTTTACAGGAATGATCAGTACAAAGTCTAGTTGTGCACTGTCCGTCTGTCTGTCCGTTTGTCACAAAATTTGTCCCAGCATGAAATTGGCCATCATGAGGCGACACATGTGATTACTGATCGCTCTTGTTATTTTTCATACCTAATTTTTCACTTGAGTGGAGCATAACTCAAAAAGTGTTTGAGATATCAACATGAAATGTCATAGGTGGATAGATCTTATTGAGGACGAATGTTGTGCGCAAGAATGATAACTCTTCCCTATACAATTTTTGAGTTATTGTCCTTTGTTTTTTTTTCATGCTATTTTGTCCAGAGCTTATCTCAAAAAGTATTTGAGGTATCAACTTGAAACTTCAAAGGTGGATGGATCTCATTGAGGAGGAGTGCAGTGCTTAAGAATGATAACTCTACCCTGCATTATTTTTGAGTTATTGCCCTTTGTTATTTTTCAAAATTTATTTTTGCCCAGAGCATAACTCAAAAAAGCCTTTGAGATATTAAAATGAAACTTCATAGGTGCATAGATCTCACTCAGGAGGTGTGCACTGCACAAGAATGATAACTCTACCTTTTATAATTTTTGAGTTATTGCCCTTTGTTATTTTTCATACTTAATTTTTCAATTCAATTTTTTTTCTCAAAAAGTATTTGAGGTATCAACTTTGAAACTTCATAGGTGTGATAGATTTTACTGAGGAGGGATGCAGCACACAAGAATGATAACCTACCCTGCATTATTTTTCAGTTATTGCCCTTTGTTATTTTCATCCATCAGTATTCACATAGGTTTCAAATCTGTAATCACTATAGCCATCAGTTTTCATTACCAAAAGACCTCTTAAAATGGAATTATTCTGCTCTACTACATATACATTCTTCCAATGAGCAAACACATTCGGCGGGGGATGGCCATGTTGACATGGCTCTTGTTCAAGTAGAATTACAAATCATTACAATAGTGTGTAAAAATGGGAAACTGTTATTTGTAGCTAAGCTTCCCGTAGGTATATTACTAAAATGCTTTTTATTCATTTTTTCAGTCACTCATCGTTTTATTTCATTAATTCTTTTACTAACTGACTGATACACCCATTCATGCATACATTATATACTTGAACAATTTGTAATGTTGTTGTTTTTAATGATTACAGGTTGGTTATACAAGTGCCCCAGGAGAAGGTGGTATTGTAAGCTTCAAAGATTTCAACAGAAGATTTTCACCTCATGTAGTATGTATTTCATATTGATAGATTGTCACTTTTTTCGTATGATACTTTTACATTCAAAATGAGAAAGAACTTGTAAGGAAATTAAATGGAAGTGAAGATGTGCAAATAATTCTGAAAATTAATTTTAGAAATTGGTTTCACTGCTGAAAATGTACCAATATCTTGGTTGTATCACAATACAATATAGAGACACTTGCATTCAGACAATATAATGATATTTAAATATTTCTTCTCTTTTTAGCTCAACTATTCGATAAGAATAATTAGAGCTATTGTAGTCACCTGAGCATTGAGGTCGGCCACTTATTTTAGTTTTTGTAACACCTCAAATAAAAGTAAAAAATAACAACAATCACTTAACATTTTGCCATAATTGTGTTTGATATACACTATGCATTTCTAATTATTTCACATTTATCAATTTTGTGTGTATAGCCTATAATATGTTTGACTTATTCTATTTTCAGCTTGACTGGATGGTATTTGCTGTTATGACACTGCCATCTCTAGGTATTCCATTCCTTTTGTGGTTCTCTAGCAAATCCAAGTATGATTCATCAAAACCAAAGAAGAGCTAACGTGCCTGCAATTTTAGTCTTTTTTTATTTAAAAAACAATTTCATGCTTTAATTTTCTGTACACATGTTTTTTACCATCACTTAATAATGTGTCAAATTATTATTGTCTGTTAAATGAAGTAATGAAGGAACCTTAAGGTGACCTGGTAAAATGTTCGGGTTAACATTTTAAGGCAGAAATTTTATAAAGATTAAGTCATAAACAAAATGTGAAGAAAAAAAAACATTTGATTAATGTTTGCTTCACTTGAAGAAAGTAGTCAAAATTATGTGTTTCTATTCCTATGTACATAGTGTTAGCATTAATTAAGCAATAGAAAAGAGTGACAAGGTCACATAAAGTCTCAATTTTCTCATTTAATTTTCTTTAGGGGAGACTATTTCATGTGAACTTAAAAATAATTTATACATATTGATTGATAACATTCCTTTTCAGTATCTGTTTATTGAAAAATCATTGTGCATTGTATTTTTTAAATTTGACGAAATGTTTTGTTTACCATTTTAAAGTGCTTTATTATCAAGTCATTTTGTAAAATTGAAAAAAAATGAAAAGGCTTTTTATGCAGAATCGTCATAAATGCAAAAGACAGTTATATTTACTGTTATGTATAGAAAGGCCTGGAAAGACAGCTATGCCCTTTAAATATGTGATTTCATGTATATGTACAGTAGTTGACATTTGTATCTTATTTTGTTTAGCATTTTAGACAGTTTTGTTTGTCATATCAGCATATAAATAATGAAATGTTAGAATGTAGATTTGTATAAATAAGAGCTAATGTTTGGAAAGAAAATGTAAATACATGCTCCATAAACTAAAGTACTATGTCACATAATTGCAAGTTAATCCATAAAAATGCAGACTTCATGGTGTTAAACATTGTTATATCTTATTTTGGAAAGCTTTGAATTACTTAATATTTCAAGAAAAGTATGAATAATGAAAATACAATGTTATTCTCCTAGTCTCCAGGTTTAAAATAGTAGCAGGAATATTCAGGGGTTTATTTTAGATATTTAAATGTTGTAGAACTGTTCACTTTGTATGAGGGTAAATGTTTGAGAAGTTTTATATATGTGTTACCATGCAACTGCTGAGTATTGTCAGATATTTTGTATTTTGTAAATCAAGTGAATGAGAATTTGTGGTGGTAGAGTGAAATAATTGATGAAAAAATAGTGTCAAATAAAACAACTAAACATAAAATAATTGTTGATTTAACTTTATTTTTTACCCCATATAGTATTTTTATTACAGTGTGGACTTAAATGGCCTTTGTTATAAAATAGCTAGCACTGATTATTTTTTGAAATGATAAATTAAATGTTCTATAATTGTACATAGATAAAATATCAGTTACAAAGTCCAAAGATTTGTTTTCGCACACTAGTTGGACTGTTCTCATGGTTGCTCTTTCCAAAATTTATAAGATTGGGCTTATGATCTTTTTGAATATGGTCATTGAACAAATACTATGTCAAATTAAATGACATTTTACATCTATGGTAACTGAATCACTGCCTCTACTCCAAAATGGTCTGACAACGGGAAATCCCTGTCCTTGATGACGTCATCAAACACCCTCTGAAATGAAAAACTCCAGAAATAATAATAATATAAACTGGCGTGCAAAGTATTATTTTTAATTTGGATTAAGGTTATTTAGTAATAGTATAATTTGTCTGGTATGAAGAGATAATTTTATCATGGTATAAATAGAAATTGCACTCTTTGATTTTTTATTTGAAAAATAATTATACCAACGTTTCCCTTGAATGCTTATTTTCACTAGTATGCAGGAGGTTTATTGACGATGCACTAGAACACATAAAACATATAATGATTGTATCCAGATTTTATGATATTCTTATTGAAAAAAAAAAGAAAAAGGCATTTCTTTTCATTATCAACCATATCGATAGTGATAAGAAACTGATGTAAGATATAAGTACATACCCTTGTACCTATCACATTGAAATTTTTGACAAGGATGTGGTCCAGGATAATGTTTTTGGAAGCCAATGATAGAGGGTTATATTTACACCAAGTACATATACCAGACTTGTCAACATAGGAAGGTGTATAACCACGTGAAGTTATATAGTCGTAGGCAGCTGAAATACAAAACGTGTATATATTGCATAGAGATGGCTTCCTTTGAAGTTCATTAATGAACAAGACTTGCAATTAAAATATCATGCATACTAGCTCAAGAGATTAAAGCTTTTTTAAACGCCGGCGTATAATGTTATGTACCTGGTCGTCCGTCCGTCTGTACGTCTATTAGCAATTTTCTTGTCTGCTCTGTATCTTTTGAACCGTTGGAATTTGAAAGAAATCAGGCGATGTGCAATACGCAGGTTTGTGCTTCCCGAGATCAAAATTGACTCCACTCCGTGGATTACTTGATTTGTATAGCGTTATACAGGAAAACACATTTAAATTTCTAAATTTCATTGGACTGCAGCTACAATGTCTAGAGCTTACACATTTGGCATGTAGCACTGTCTTATTGACTGCTATGAATCATGTGACCCCTGGTTTAATATTGGCCCCGCCCAAGGTGTCTCTTGATTTATATAGACTTGTATAGGAAAACACACCTGAGACATATTGTGTGAAACTACTGTTACTCTTGGGCTTTTACATAAAGCACTATTAAATAAAAACCGAGATGTTGGGTTCTCCTCTCAAGATACCCAGAACATAGAAATTTGGTATGTGGACAACAAAATAACTGGTATTAACCACGCCCCTTTGGTCAATATTAGTCCCTCACCTTGGGTCACTTAGTTAATATAGTTTTGTTTAGGAGAACAGTCTTATTGTGCTGAAACCACAATGCGTATAGTTAAGACATTGCCTTGTTGGCCTCTACAAAACTGGTATTAATCAGCCCCTTAAGCAAATATTGGCCCGCCCATGGACTCACTTAGTTGATATATATTCTTGTATGAGAAAAAACATTTCAGTTACTACATTTTGTCTTAATTATAAAGTTTATTTAATTTATTAAAGTTTGCATGGTACTTTATTGCTATTTATATATAGTATTCATATGGAGATAATGTTTAAGACATCTTGCACGTGATTGGTTTCAATTCACAAAGAAGAAGCTGTTCCAATACTCATAGTTATGCGTTAAATCTACGAGTATTACTTTTTGTCTGTCTACTAGCAAATGTAATATACAGACAGAAGTACCGAGTTAATGCCACTACATCAATCTACACAAAATACGTGCATATATAAATACATGTAAATCAATGATAAATTATACCGTTGAAATCTGACGAGACATTGAAATCTGCCACCTTGGGACCACCATTAAGGTCACCCATAATCACTGCACGGTGCACGTGCTGTTGTGACTTCAATAAAACTCGCGCTTCATCTAAATTCTGTTCTTCCCAACTTGTAAATTTTAGGTCTAAAAATAGATATAGATACATATGATAATAGAAGCTTCACCACAGTTACACATGATTAGGATTTTAACATGGAACAAAGTCGGATATTGTTTTTTGTGTCGCCTCTACGGAGTAGTGGCGACATATAGGGATCACTTCTCCGTCGTCTGTCTGTCCGTCTGTCCGTTCTTCACAAAACTTGTTCGGACTACTCCTCATAAACTACTGGTGCAATTTCATCCAAACTTTACAGGAATGATCAGTACCAAGTCTAGTTGTGCACATTGTCATCATTTTTCGGTTCAATGATTTTTGTCAGAGTTATGGCCCTTTAATAATTTTTATTTTTAAAGTTTGTCCGGACTTCTCATCTTATACCACTAATGCACTTTCAATGAAACTTTACAGGATTGATCTGTAGCTCAAGTCCTTCCACATTTTGCACGGGTTTTCCGGTTGAATATTTTTTGCCAAGTTATGGACCTTGAATTAAAAATAAGTTTTTGTTTGTTGCCAGATACATAAAAGTGGGTCCGGACTACTTCTAAAAAACTACTGGTGCAATTTCATCCCAACTTTACAGGAGTGATCAGTACCAAGTCTAGTTCATGTAGTTGTGCATATTGTCATCATTTTCCGGTTCAATGATTTTTGTCAGAGTTATGGCCCTTTAATAATTTTTATTTTTAAAGTTTGTCCGGACTACTTCTCTTATACCACTAATGCAATTTCAATGAAACTTTACAGGATTGATCTGTAGCTCAAGTCCTTGTGCATATTGCACGGGTTTTCCGGTTGAATGATTTTTTGCCGAGTTATGGCCCTTTGATAAAAAGGTGTTTTTTTTCTGTGTGTAGCCAGATACACAAAAGCTTGTCCGGACTACTCCTCATAAACTACTGGTGCAATTTTATCCAAACTTTACAGGAATGATCAGTACCAAGTCTAGTTGTGCACTGTCCGTCTGTCTGTCCGTCTGTCACAAAACTTGTCCCAACATGAAATTGGCCATCATGAGGCGACACATGTGATCACTGATCGCTCTTGTTATTTATTGTGTGTAAACTATTCATTCTATACACCTAGAAATAAGCACTTCCCGGAAATTTAGAATTGGTTTTGATTGAATGCAACGCATGAGATGACGACTTAATTGAGCTATAGCAATACCAATTTAGTAATCATAAACCAGTAAATTTATGCAAAATTATTGAAGCATAAACAAATGTGTTGCTTTTATTTTACCAAAAATGTAAGTGTTTATAAGTATGGTGTTGAAGCGTTTACAGATGGATAATTTTGGTAAATTTTGATGATTACGTAACCTAAGGTGACATAATGTATCCAAATTTTTAATAACGAGTGTAATCGCCATGTTCCCGGATGATAGCCTCGACCCTTCAGCAAGGCATCACATGCGATTTTAAAGTAAATTTTGCCATTCTTGGCGCAGAGCTTGTTCAAGTTGTTGCATGTTGACTACAGGTGGTTCGTACCATTTAAAATTTCAGTTCATGTCAATATTGAGGCAAAATGCCGAGTGTGCTTAACTTATTTCCAGATGTATATATTTCACCACATTCACTACTGATTCTAATTAACAGTGCTCGAGCAGTGTTTGTCGTATATAACCTTGAGAAATTAGTTTGGTCACTGAACATTTGTAACTAATAACAGAAAAACAGATTATCCGGCGTACCTTCGAAGTAAGAGTAACTTAGATCCGCACTGGTATGTGTACAGGCTACTGTGCCTACTCCCTCAATCTGAAACAGGATAATGAATTATGCAAATTAAATTTAATTCTATTGAATAGTGCCATTGCTACACACGAAAATATACGAGTCCCGTGAGTGTGTTCACTAAGGTTTACCACAACCACGTGCTTGAAACAAGTTTTAATATTTCGGACAGTGGTTTAATTATGACGGGAGAGGAACTGTTACACGGAGGATGGGGTTCTTCTGATAACTTGTCAGGAGTTCTGCTGATAACCGTTACAAAGTTCGTCGGAAAACTTTTGCTTATACCGAAGAAACACTTGTCAAAAATGGCAATTTTCATCTTTAAAAATAGTGTTTTTGGTGCTATATTAAAATTTGATGATTAAGATTACCATAATACCGTACTGTATAATATGTCAGAAAAACTTTATAGTATATTTTTAATCGCCTTAAAATCGTAGTTTTGAGTAAAAGCTCATACGTACACTTGATAACCTAATTAATGCCTGATTGTTCAAGTGTCCTAGAGTTCTTCTTATAGTTGCCTGTGTTTTTCTTGCGTTAAGTTACGGCAAGTTTTAGCGTTTTTATTGTTCAATAAGGATATAAATCATTGTTCATCTTTTGCACAAAATATTGATTATATAATATTGGTATTTAATAAAGATGAACATTACGATACCATTTTTGAGGAGTGTTTCCTCGGTATATATACAAGGTGTTTCGACGAACTCCGTGGCAGTTATCAGAAAAACTCCTGATATGTTATCAGAAGAACTGAGTCCCCCATGTAACAGTTCCTCCCCTGTGATTATACTTCTCGAAAATGTAATGTATGACATAAAAGAAATGGCATGTATTAGTCTAACTCTATTGTGCTGATCGTTATTTTATGTATGCTCTCTTTGCTTCGATAATATGCACACCTGACAATAACTGTCTTTTGCCCATTCACTTGATTTATTCGATTCGAAGACTGAATAATATTTGTTTGCCAAGGGATATGAAATTGTTTATATAGCCTCTTAATGAACTTTTACCTCAGCACTGATATATGCTCTTGGAATGAACAACTTCTTGTCCTGCACAAATCTTGTAATATGTACACGATTTAATGGTCGAGAACTCAGCAATAATACACCAGGTATGTTGAATCGGTTTTTAACATTTTCTACGCAGCTGAATAAAAAAAAATCATTGATTGAGATAGGAAATTTTAATCAGTTGAGATTCATAACATACAACAATGATTGTTATCTTTTAAATGCATATTGTCTTAGAAACCTAGCTAAACCCAGTTTCCGAATCTATTATAAGTACAAATACGAATAAAAGTGCCAGCGGAAGTCCTTCCGAAATATATATACGTGTAAAATAGGAATTCTATGTTAAGATAAGTAATTTATTTATCATAAATCATTAGAGAAAACTATCATATGAACAAAGAACATGTTTTTACCTACTAGCCACTTCTTTGACGCCAGACAGGATCAAACATGTTACACATTCCTGTTCCAGTTTCTCGAGCATTTTGCACTTTTCTCGTGCACATGTCAAATAATCAACGGTGCCTTTGGTATGACCGCACCTTGTCTCGATACAAGGCAAAAATGACGTAAGAAATGACGTCGACATGCACGGGGCCTTCATCCAAGGTATATCTTCTAAAACACCTATCTCACGATGTAGGCCACTGTAAGAATATGGGTATACTTTTCCCGCTGATTTCAAAATTCTCTCAATATCTCCTGAAAGCCATACCTGTAAAGAATACAAAACAGATACATATCTATGGATATCATACCTGTTATGTATTAAAACACGATCCAGACAAATATTTTGAACAGTCTTTGTATTGTCAAGTACCAAACTATACGTCATTAAAACGTATGTGAGAAGTTAGCAGTGAACAGTGAGCTAAGCAAAAAGGCATTTCAATTTATATAGGGAAGGTAATGATCTGCTGTAATGCTCAGCTGTTTTGGGCATCTAGCAGGGCATTCCTAAATATAGTGTAAAAATGCTCTGCTGCAATACTCAGCTGTCTTGGCAATCTAGCAGAGTATCCTAGCTTTAGTGAAAAAAATGCTTTGCTGGAACGCTCAGCTGGCTAGGCAATCTAGCAGTGCATTACTAAATATAGTGTTAAAATGCTCTGCTGGAATGCTCAGCTGGCTAGCTAAGCTGGCTAGGCAATCTAGCATGGCATTACTAAATATAGTGAGAAAATGCTCTGCTGGAATGCTAAGCTGGCTAGGCAATCTAGCAGGGCATTACTAAATACAAATGTATAGTGTAAAATGCTCTGCTGGAATGCTAAGCTGGCTAGGCAATCTAGCAGGACATTACTAAATATAGTGTACACATGCTATTCTATAATGCTAAGCTTGCTAGGCAATCTAGCAGGGCTTTACTAAATATAGTGTAAAAATGCTCTGCTTGAATGCTAAGCTGGCTAGGCAATCTAGCAGGGCATTACTAAATACAGTGTAAAAATGCTCTTCTGGAATGCTAAGCTGGCTAGGCAATCTAGCAGGGCATTCCTAAATATAGTGTAAAAATGCTCTTGTGGAATGCTAAGCTGCTAGGCAATCTAGCAGAGCATTACGAAATATAGTGTAAAAATGCTCTGCTGGAATGCTAAGCTGGCTAGGCAATCTAGCAGGGCATTACTAAATAAAGTGTTAAAATGCTCTGCAGGAATGCTCAGCTGGCTAGGCGCTATAGCAGAGCATTCCTTAATATAGTGAAAAAATGCTCTGGTGGAATGCTCAGCTGGCTAGGCAATCTAGCAGAGCATTACTAGATATAGTGTAAAAATGCTATGCTGGAATGCTCAGCTGGCTAGGCACTATATAGCAGAGCATTCCTTAATATAGTGAAAAAATGCTCTGGTGGAATGTTCAGCTGGCTAGGCAATCTAGCAGGGCATTACTAAATATGGTGTAAAAATGCTCTGGTGGAATGTTAAGCTGGCTTGGCAATCTAGCAGAGCATTCCGAAATATAGTTAAAAAATGCTCTGGTGGAATGCTCAGTTGGCAGACTGATTCTGAGTTCCAGGATTTATTGTTGCCAAAGTTTTATTGACAATTTCGACTTCTAGGCAATTCTGAGACACTCGCAGAATTTCAGGAATTTTCGGTGCCAATAGAAATAATGATATTTTTGACTTCTAAGGACCTTTAAGAGACTATTTCATTGTCCTGCGACTTTTTAAAGGACACTCGCAGACTTTCAGGAATTTTGGTGCCAATGCTGATATTGACAATTAAGACTTCAAGGGACCCTCTAGAGTCCATTTTGGTCGTCTGCGACTGAGTCTTGGACACTCGCAGACTTTCAGGAATGGTTGGTGCCAATGGAAATAATCATATTTTTGACTTCTAGGGACCTTTAAGAGTTCATTTCATTGGCCTGCAGCGTATTGTTGGACACTCGCAGACTTTCAGGAACGTTTGGTGCCAATAGATATGATGGCAATTTTTACTTCTAGGGACCCGCCAGAGTCCATTTTTATGGTCTGTGACTGATTCTGGGACATTGGCAGACTTTCAGGAATCTCTGGTGCCAATGGAGATAAGGACATTTTTGACTTCTAGCGACCCACCAGAGTTCATTTTGCTGGTCTGCGACTGATTTTGGGACACTTGCAGACTTTCAGGAATTTTGATGCCAATGGAGATAATGACATTTCTGACTTTTAGGGAACCGCCAGAGTACATTTCTCGGGTCTGCGATTGATTTCTTGAGACTCGCAGACTTTCAGGATGTTTAGTGCCATTGCAGATCATGACTTTTTTTACTTTTAAGGACCCCTTAGTCATAAGCAGAGCATTTTTACCCCAAAATGTCATTATCTGCATTAGCACCAAAAATTCCTGAAAGTCTGCAAGTGCCCAATAATCAGTCGCAGACCAACGAAAAAGACTCTGGATGGTCAAAAATGTCATAAATTGTAATTATCTCTATTGGCACCAACAATTCCTGAAAGTCTGTGACTGTCCAAGATTAAGTCGCAGACCAAAAAAATGGACCCTGGATGGTCCCTAGAAGTAAAAAATGTCATTATCTGCCTTGACATAAAAAATTCCTGAAAGTCTGTGAGTGCCTCAGAATCAGTCGCAGACCAAAAAAATGGATTCAAAAAGGTCCCCATAAGTCAGAAATATCATTTTCTGCATTGACACCAAAGTTCCTGAAAGTCTGCGAGTGACTCAGAATCAGTCGCAGACCAACGAAATAGACTCAGGAGGGTCCTTTTGAAGTAAAAATGTCATTATCTCCATTGGCACCGAAAATTTCTGAAAGTCTGCGAGTGTTCCAGAAACATTCGCAGACCAACGAAATGGACTCTGGATGGTTCTAAAAATTCACAAATGTCATTATCTGCATTAACACCAAAAATTCCTGAAAGTCTGCGATCGTCCCAGAATCAGTCGGAGACCAAAAAAATAGACACTTGAGGGTCCCGTAGAAGTCAAAAATGTCATTATCTGCATTGGCACTAAATATTTCAGAAAGTCTACGAGTGCCAAATAATCAGTTGCAGACCAACGAAAATTTATACTTTATTTAAGAATGCCCTGCTAGTTTGCCTAGACAGCTCAGCAATCTGGCAGAACATTTTTACACTAATTTTCAGAATGCTTTGCTGGATTGCCTAGCCAGCTGAGCATTTTTAACACTATATTTAGGAATGCCCTGCTAGATTGCTTAGCTAGCTGAGCATACCAGCAGAGCATTTTTCGCACTATATTTTGGAACGCTCTGCTAGATTGCTTAGCCAGCTGAGCTTGCCAGCAGAGCATTTTTACACTATATTTAGGAATGCTCTGCTGGATTGCCTAGCCAGCTGAGCATTTTTAACACTATATTTAGGAATGCCCTTCTAGATTGCCTAGCCAGCTAAGCAATTCAGCAGAGCATTTTTACACTATATTTTGGAATGTCCCGCTAGATTGCTTAGCCAGCTGAGCATAACAGCTAAGCATTTTTACACTATATTTAGGAATGCCCTGCTAGATTGCCTAGCCAGCTGAGCATACCAGCAGATCATTTTTACACTATATTTTGGAATGCCCCGCTAGATTGCTTAGCCAGCTGAGCATAACAGCAGAGCATTTTTACACTATATTTTGGAATGCCCCGCTAGATTGCTTAGCCAGCTGAGCATAACAGCAGAGCATTTTTACACTATATTTTGGAATGCCCCGCTAGATTGCTTAGCCAGCTTCGAATAACAGCAGAGTATTTTTAACACTATATATAGGAATGCCCTGCTAGATTGCCTAGCCAGCTGAGCATACCAGCAGAGCAATTTTACGCTATATTTTGGAATGCCCCGCTAGATTGCCTAGCCAGCTGAGCATACCAGCAGAGCATTTTTACACTATATTTAGTAATGGCCTGCTAGATTGCTTACCCAGCTGAGCATACCAGCAAAACATTTCTACACTTAATTTTGGAATGCTCTGCCAGATTGCTTACCCAGCTGAGCATAACAGCAGATCATTGATTTCCCTATATAAATCGTAATGACTTTTTGCTTAGCTCACTGTTAACTGCTAACTTCTCACATACCATTAAAACATTGAAAGTAAGATAAAATCTAGACTTGATATCTCCGTTCAAAAGCTTTTACTTTAACATTGAAGTCACAATTGAATTAAGAATTTTTTATGACATTGTCTTCCTAAAAGTTTATATGAAAATTCAAATTATCTCATAGTTTCAAAGTTTTCAAAGTTTCAAAGTTTTATTTCAGAAAATATCCTGAAGGCCAAAAGCCCATGAGGACAACATTTTGAACAGTGTACTTTTGAAAATTATTACTACATACTAACATATTGTTATAATCGTGTATGCTTCTAAATCTCTAAGTAAAAGTATAGTTATAAACATGATCTAATTTTTTAATACTGATTATGACATACTCTATCTATTCGCATTACTTCATCTTACAAAGTGTGCTATTGATTGCACAAATTAGTAACACCAGTGACTAGAACTTCATGACCTAATAAGAATATCCATATGCTTCGCAAAGACCAAAAAAGAAAATTATATCTGACATATCACAATGTCATATATCATTTATATTTTTCATTATGCCTGATGTTTGCTCGAATGCGAATGAGAAAAATATATCACAAACAAATTCAAATTTTTTTTTTCTCAGGAAATAGTGTTACATAAGAAGATGGATATTATTTTTAACACTTAACAATATTCAGAGAAATTTTCAGATAACATACATATAATGACAATGTTACTTCATAATTTAATGTAATATTTTCAAATATTTGACATTACATGGCAAAGATCAGTCTCTCAGACCTAACACACAAGCACAAAAGCAGTAGTAAACTTGTTTGTCTTACATGTAAGAGAAAAGCACATTCTGTCCGCCCGTACCAGCTGTTATATTTACACTTTTGTCTAAACAACTCGTGTAAATATCACATCCAGCTCTACCGCACACAACCCGCCCCAATCCAACAAATAAGACATACAAATATCTTTATGTATTATTATAACAAGCACAGTATAATACATCTACATTCATATAATGCCTGTTTTGGGCAAGTTTCATAAATGCTAAAAAAATAAAAAATAAAAAATATTACTAATTGAAATAACTAGTTGACAATAAGTATGCATATTGATATTTGCTCTATAGAACATATTTAACTAACAAACATTTTTGTATGTCCATTACTTAAATATATATTGTACACATCATTTGTATATAGTAAGACGGACAAATATCCTTTATTAGGTCAATGCATCAACATTTATATAATGCCTGTTATGAGCGAGTTTCATATATTCTAATTGTAATATAAAATTGTCATAACAAGTATACATACATATATATATATTTCTATGTTCCATAAAACATATCTGATTAAACTTATTTTTCTTTATTTAATATTGTACACACTACTATAGAGTAAACGTTCAACATTTGTTTTACTTATCATTGTAGATTTATAATTCTAAATTACCCTATATCAATCTGTTACTGGCTATATACATGCAACGCTATCAAAGACTCTAATTTTCTTAGCATTGTATATTAGCTTACATTATTACTATATAAATTAGCAGAACGAATCATAAATGCCTTGTATACATACACACTTAGCTTTGTCAATAAAACTTCATTATCAGATGTAATTAGTTGAAAAAATTTACACATATTGGGTCTATATCTATAAAAGCTAGGAATATAAATGTTTCTTATATCTGTATATGCTTGGCACTGTAACACAAAATGAAATTCATATTCTAACACTTGGCATATGCTACATTTTCGCTGCTCTAAAGGAATCGCAGTTGGCTTTGCCCATCTGCCGCTTTCAATACTTAGTCTATGAGATGACATACGCAATCTTGATAAGCTTAATTGAAACTTTTGTATATTGCATAAATTAAGATAGGGCTGTAACCTAAAGCTAGCTATGTTTCTATAAAAAAGCGCTCTAGTTGAGCTGTTAAGTCTACTATTCCAGTTTTGTATGAAATTATCAGACAATCTTTGCTCAAAATAGTGCAAAAATATTACCTTATCACCTACATCTTGAAAAAGCCACACATCATAAAAACCCAAGTGAACATAAAAGATCCCTCAATAATGAACACCAACTTTTCTTGTTAGGATTCCTTTCACAGTCGTTTAATAAAGTAATATAGATTTTCTTGTTAAACTTATTATCTTTTGTCTGTAATAACTTAACCCAGTATTTAACAATCTTTAAATATCTCAAGGTTTGAAAATTTATACGCCCAAGTTCACCATAAACAAAATCATTTTGTGTACATCTTTTAACACCAAGAAGTTGCTTGCAAAACTGCAAATGGACTCTTTCAATTGCACAACCTTTTGTGAATCCCCACACTTCACTACCATAATTTAAGATAAGTGTAATCAGTTTATCAAAAAGTTCAAGCTTGTGTTTCACTGTAATATTAGTGAATTTATAGAGGTATTTATTCATCTTAAATATAGCTTTTGAAGCTTGACCAGCTAAAGTATTTAATGCATCAGAAAAAGAACCACCAGTAGAGAAAACAATTCCTAAATAATTAACTTATTTACAATTTCAATAGAGTTGCCACTGTAATAAAAATTTATGTTTACTGGTAAACGACCACCTTTTCTAAATATCATTACTTTTGTTTTATCAGTGTTCACAACAAGTTTCCACCTTTCACAATATTCATACAATGTATCCAAATTATTTTGCAACTCAGTTGCTGAATTAGCAAAAATGATATATATATATAGTAGAAGACATAGAGGATATTCAAGTTTTTATCTATAAATTTAAATTTATTAATACAGGATTTATTTCATCGAGTGGTATGAAAATTATTATTTCATGCATGACAGTAGCCAAATTTTCCGTTTATAATATACCTTTTCTCTTATTTAACCTTATGACTAGAAATAAATCACTTTTAATTTTGTTTATTGGCTAAATTTAGAACAAAGTAGTCCGACAAGACAGCAGTGAAAATACGGAAAATATGCTTCACTGCTGTGAAATATTTTACAATGAAAATACGGAAAATGACAATTATTAGTAAAATAATAAAATACAATATTCAATAATGAAATCTATCACGAGTAAATGATTTAAATATACCAAAGAATTAGAAAAAAATGGAACGATTTCATTGGACAAAATATAATTTCAACCGCTAATTTTCTATTGTTGATATGTTTGATTTTGAAAACTACTGAATATCAAAATAAACATGAAAATAAAATAAAAAAGATAAAAAAAACAACAGCAACAACAACAAAATAACATACCTCTTGAAGACAAACTACATCCGCCTTGAGGTCTTTAATAGCTTGACCTACTTTCTCCCTCCTCACGTCATATTGCCCCACCCTCGTGGTTAGCCCCGTATTGTACGATACTAATCGCACAGTTGAGTTAAAGCTATCTCCAATGGTTAACTTAACTACCATACAAGTTAACAGTAAAATTAACATGTTTCTATAACTTGAAGCAGAAGACAACTGCATAACTTACGGTATTATTTTGAAATATTTTTTCGCAGTCAAAATGTCAGTTTATGCTATAAGCAAATAAAATGTGATTATGGGGGTAGTTCCTAAACATTGTCTATACAGCTGCATTGTAAAAGGACAAGTGGATTAATTTGTTTCATGTCATGTTGAAAGTTGTAATGATTTGAGAAACAAAATAGCTTAGTATATTGTTTATACTCTTTCATATCAAATAAAACAAATAACAAATCCACTTTTAATGACTATAAAACGAATAGAAGATTTAGCCTAATGATGTGTTCGACTTCGTTTATTGTATAGAAACTTAAAATTACTTTTATCTTAAAACATTTTATGCAGGTTATAATGTGCTCCACTCTTAACCCTCCCCCTCAAAGAAAAAAAAACCCATAAAATTTGAAATTCTTACCTAAATAAAAAGAAGCATTTACAAAGAAATCACCCTCAATAATAAAGCATAATAAAGCACTTCTCTCAAAATCAAATTAATATGTCGATATTTGTGTGTTTGATTCATAGCACTTACTTCTCTTTTTACATGAAAGTTTAGTTAAAATGTTAAAATTGCTTTTATTTTCTACATTGTATTTATCGTATTCGTAACTAAAGGTGTATTGTTAGGAAATGTACGCTGACATTGTTTTATTATAAATTCTCTAAACATACGATAAATTAAACATGTTTATATGTATTAACGTGGGCGGGTTGATTTTGAAAACTCGCGGATCAAAACTTTCGGGCGTCTGCTTGTAGTCGTGAAAACTAGTGACAAATAGATATAAATAGATAAGCAGTAGAAATATATAATAGAAACTCATTGTACGAATGGATCACCTTATAAATGTGTGTAACAATTCATTAACCTTGTCTTAACAGCCATAGATGCAGCAAAGCAGCAAAGTCGCTCAATGTTTATCAGTTAGCTTTAAAAACAGGTTGGACAAATTCATGGGAGCAACACAGTATACCATCATACCGGATCAGAACTGGGTACAGAGCCATGGGGGGGGGGGGGGGTTATAGAAAGACGATGACGACGTCTTGCGACATCAACTCCAGTAAAGTAAAGTAAAAGTAAAGTAAAGTTTATCGGCCGTAGGTCAGTACTATTTATGCCCAGGAAATTCCTTCTTAATCACCTAAATGCTTCTTCAAACAACGAGCACTATCAGAATGTACCATATTACACACAATATACGTTTGAAATATATAAACAGTGTTTTCAGCTATAAACATCCGAAAGTTGGAACTAAATTCACTAACGGTTGAGCAGCGTAAGTTCTTGACCACTTTGGACTACAAGACAATTCTATTGGCTAATTCGGACACACCTTTTCTTAGAAAATCTATAAAAGGTGCAAAAACCGCAATCACACCGTAAACACGGACATGGTTTTAAATATTAACTTGCGGACGAGAACTTACGACTTGAAACTTACGGATTTGCTGGGTGTTTCAAGTCGTAAGTTCTCGTCCGCAAGTTTGGTAACCATCTATGACCTTGGAACAGTCGCTAGTCTAAACTCTGTATATAAATAACGAGTCGCTAGTTTTGAAACTTACGACTGTCCGATAGAAGATAACCTTATGTTTAGTAATAGAAAGAGCACCGAAACACGAGGCTATCTGATTTGTACGAGGGGGCGTAGCCCCCGAGTATTAATCAGATTGCCGAGTGTTTTGGTGTTCTTTCTCTTTTGTATCATAGTCAAACATAAAAGCACGTTCCCTGTTGTCACAATATGAAACCCCGGCAAAAATGAACCAATGAACGAACTTCTGAATATGACATTTCTGTCGCTTTCCCTTTATCTGCCGTCACAATATGTAAACCCCAGCAAAAATGAACCAATCAATGGGCATGCTCTGGAGTGAGGGTAACTAATACCAGCACTCCAGTTAACGCACTGTGCATGTATATGTATACGATTTAACCCTGACACATTTTCAACAGAAAGGTCTCCAACCTATGATACAATAATGTATTGTTGAACAGAACAAAGCTAATTTATGTGTCGCTACTCACGACCTGTCGTTAGATCGTAATCTGAGATACAGTAATAATATATATAAAGGATAGCTGAACACTCGGGAACTATGATGACTGACACCTAGAACATAACCCCTCCTCAGAAACAATAATAAAGAATCTAACAATTAAATAAACCAGTATATATGTGTTGTTCAATTAATGTTCATGTGTTTGTCTGATTTGCATCTATAAATAAATGCATTTTGGTATTTGAAATATATCTTTGCTATTTCTTATGGATTCTGATCATTGTCGGTAGTTCATCCTGATATAAATGCCGTGCCGTCCCGTACTACTACCGCACACCTACCGTTACGTTAATAGTATATATTTATTAAGATGCTTGTAATTTATCATCACTCACATAATTTATGCCAAGTTTCATCTATTACCTGCATGTATATTTCAAGAATAATTATCATCACTTTGAACTAAGAATTTTATTTCATATTTTTTTTACTTTAAACTAATCATCTTTGCCATCAAATGTATAATTTCAGACTTAAGGTAGTTGTTCCTTGTCATCACTCACATCACATAAACTAAGCATTTATATTTTAACAGTTGTCTCCACTTTAAACTTGAAAAGTTGCTCATTATTTTACTCTTATCATCTTCATTACATAAGGGATTTGATTCAGACTTCAGATTATTGTCTTTTCCACTACGAAACAAACATTTTTATGTTGATATTTGATGTTTCACATTCAATGACATGCATGTTACAAACTGTACGAGGTGCAATGTATATGTCACTGTTCAGAACTGTTCACTACGGTGTTCCGTTTGGACAGTCGTGATTTTTAATTTAGTCTGTTACCGCAATGCACGATGGTACGATGGTGAAAACGCGATGGTACGATGGTGAAAACACGATGGTACGATGATGAAAACACGATGGTACGATGGTGAAATCGCGATGGCGCGATAGTACGATGGTGAAAACGCGATGTTACATCGCGTTTTCACCATCGTACCATCGATCGTGATTTCACCATCGTACCATCGCGCATTCACCATCGTACCATCTCACCATCGCGCCATCGTGTTTTCACCATCGTACCATCGCGTTTTCACCATCATGCAATCGCGTTTTCACCATCGTACCATCGCGCTTTCACCATCGTGCCATCGCGCTTTCACCATCGTACCATCGCGTTTTTACCATCGTACCATCGTGCCATCGAACCATCGTACCATCGCCTTTCGGTCAGTATAATCAGTACACATACAGAAAGATGTCAGATTCTGTTACGGTAGATAATGAAAACAAGTTTAGAATACTTAATATTTTATTTGACTTAAAAATAATAAAACCTGTTATTTTTACATTAAATAAATTTTCCATTTATGTCGTGATACTGTATATAGATCAACGACTATTTTAATACATGGTTATGTATGCTATATATATGTCTGCATTTTTTTCCTGCTTTATTTAAACTTTACATGTACAGTGCACAAGGGTGACAACTTTTTTTTTTAATTTTTGAGTGATTGCCATTTGTAAATTTCAGGTTCCAAATACTAAGATCTAAAAGATACACAAATAGAAAGGGTGCAGGGTTCCATAATGAGAAGGCACACATTGTTGATAAAAATATAACATTGCGCATGACCACCGGAAGACGATGGCACGATGGTGAAAACGCGATAGCACGATGGTGAAAACGCGATGGAACGATGGTGAAAACGCGATGGTACGATTGTGAAAACGCGATGGTACGATGATGAAAGCGCAAATGTACGATGGTGAAAGCGCGATGGCACGATGATGAAAACGCGATGGTACGATGGTGAAAGCGCGATGGTACGATGGTGAAAGCGCGATGGCATGGTGATGAAAACACGATGGCGCGATGGTGCGATGGTACGATTGTGGAAACGCGATGGTACGATGGTGAAATCGCGATGGAACGATGGTGAATACGCGATGGTACGATGGTGAAAACGCAATGACACGATGGTGAATACGCGATGGTACGATGGTGAAAACGCAATGGTACGATGGTGAAAACGCGATGGTACGATGGTGAAATCGCGACGGTACGATGGTGAAATCTCGATGGCTCGATGATGAAAACGCGATGGTGCCATGGTGAAAGCGCGATGGTACAATGGTGAAAGCGCGATGGCATGGTGATGAAAACACGATGGCGCGATGGTACGATGGTGAAAACGCGATGGTACGATTGGTGAAAGGGCAAATGTACGATGGTGAAAGCGCGATGGCACGATGATGAAAACGCGATGGTACGATGGTGAAAGCGCGATCGTACGATAGTGAAAGCGCGATGGCATGGTGATGAAAACACGATGGCGCGATGGTGCGATGGTACGATGGTGAAAACGCGATGGTACGATGGTGAAAACGCAATGACACGATGGTGAATACGCGATGGTACGATGGTGAAAACGCAATGGTACGATGGTGAAAACACGATGGTACGATGGTGAAATCGCGAATGTACGATGGTGAAAGCGCGATGGCACGATGATGAAAACGCGATGGTACGATGGTGAAAGTGCGATGGTACGCTGTTGAAAGCGCGATGGCATGGTGATGAAAACACGATGGCGCGATGGTGCGATGGTACGATGGTGAAAACATCACTATCGTACTATCGCACCATCGCGATTTCACCATCGTACTATCGCGTTTTCATCATCGTGCCATCGTGTTTTCACCATCGTACCATTGTGCATCGCGGGTACAGACTAAATAAAAAGTCACGATTGTCCAAACAGAACACCGTAGTTCACTATTTACGGGAGAAGTTGTGTAAGCGGCCGATAGAGTCGGTAGAGCCGCGGAACGGTATTCCGAAGTCCCGGGTTCGAGTCCTGGTCAGGCTGCACATTTTTCTCACCCTGTGGCATGTGACATTTTTGCTCAAAATGAAACATATATATATATATTTACTAGCTATTGTCATATTTTTGTCTGCCTTAACTGAGTTCAGTAATAAATTATTCGAGCACATACTCGTATTGTTACGACGTTTTCTCTATAATTTTGATAATTTATTTCAATATATGGCATAGGTTGATAAAACATCGGCCACGTGCCAAAATATCAGTTAGAAACATTTGATGATATCACTGTAAACGTACATAGTCGAGATCTTGTAGACAACTTTGAAAACACACATCACACGGCAGAAAGTTCTACGCTTCGGGCGATAAGTAACTGTAAGTATACGAACATATAAAGAGGTCGTTTGAAGATGAGACTTTTATGGCTTCATTTTTTTATTAAACCCGAGAAGAAGCAATAGAACTTAACTTAAAAGCAACTTGAAAGCATAGAAGCAATGTAATGTCAATAATATTTTTTAATTGGTAATTGCAATAAATCTTATGTTACCTGCCAAAATTACTGCCATTGGTGCTTATTGTTCCAATGTAATATTAACATAAAGTAGTTTAGTCGTAACATTCTTTATCTTTAAAGAAATATCCGCACACTAATAAGATTACCAGATATACAGGACAATAAAACAATTATATATTTGTAATATAATTTCTAGCAATGTTTGTTTTATATTTTTAGCTCAAACAAAAAGAAAAGGTTACAAAATGACCTTTCATAAAAATGTATAGGAATTCGTTTACTTGTACTTTAATCTAGTATATAAATGTAAGTAAATGGCTCAGTAAGGAGAGTAGAGAGAGAGAGAGAGGGAGGGAGAGGGAGAGAGAGAGGGAGAGGGAGAGAGAGAGACATCACGCGCAAATTCTCATGGTAACTTCAGGACTATACATGTATACATTCTATAATTATTATAAATGTCTTATTCTCGCCAGTCATGATGTTTCAGTCATTAGTCTATCGCCCAATGTAAATGCCTAAAGTTGAAAATTTCTTAAGTCTATTTCGCAAAAACGGTCTATCTAGATAATCATTACCCGTGTCTATGAAAAATAGGTCAACGACTAAGTTTGTAAGACGCTAAAAAGAAAAGAATAAACGCCTTAAGCAGCTACAGTCGCTCCTTTATCACTTTTAGTATGTGAGAAGTTAACAGTAAATATTGAGCTAAAAAACATTAGAATTTAAATCAATGATCTGTTAAAACGTTAAACTTTTTTCTCATTAGTGTCCAGCTTTATTTGTCATCCAATGAAAACGCTGTATTTCTTAAAAATATGTGTGAGAAGAACAATTGTCATCGTCATAGCCGCCAACTGAGCCGCGTCATGACAAAACCAACATAGTGCGTTTGCGACCAGCATGGATCCAGACCAGCCTGCGCATCCGCGCAGTCTGATCAGGATCCATACTGTTCGCAATCAGTTTCTCTACTTGTTATAGAGTTGGTAAGCGAACAGCATGGATCCTGATCAGACTGCGCGGATGCGCAGGCTGGTCTGGATCCATGCTGGTCGCAAACGCACTATGTTGGTTTTGTCGTGACGCGGCTCAACTGTTTTTCAATGTCCTTCAGTTCAAATAGTCTTGACGTAATAAAGCGAATAAAGAAGCCAAATAAAGCTTGACAATAAGTATGTTAGTATTCATCCGTAGCTGTTCTACAGAAATTTTTAGAAACTTTTCCCCGGGGTCAAACCCTTTTAATTTTTTATTTAAAAACCGGGCCACGGAAGGGACCCTAACATTTTTTAAGCGTCATTCCAAACCCAAAACCCAAAAATATTTTTCCATCTTTTTTGGGGACGTTTAAAAAGAAATTTCCAAGGGGGGGTTTCCCAGACATTATTGACTTAAAAATTTTCAAAAAAACGTAAATTTTTGTTTTAAAAGTTTTTTTGTCCCAAATTTTGTTTTATAGAAAAAAAAAAATATCAAAATAAAATTTTCTCATATATTTTTTTTAAATTGGGTTTTCTTATTTTTAAATTAGGAACCTTGGGGCCTCCGTTTTGGAACTTTAAAACTGTTTTTAATATTTTTTTTTCCCTTTCCCCTTAAAAGAAAAAAAAAAAGAAAAAAATTTCTTTGGGCAAACCCAGTAATAAGAAATATTTTCCCCTGGGAAAAAAGGGAAAAATTTCTTATTATTTCGCCCCGGTTTATTAAAAATTAAAAAACAGAACAGAGGGGATTTTGTAGGTTTATTTCACACCGTCTCTTCTGCCCTTTACACTAACTCCCGTTTTTGACTTTTTGAACAAACACAAAAAAACAAAACTAAAACTTCTCAATATTTTTAATAAAAAGAACGAAGTAAAAAATAAATAAAATAAAAATAAAAAATTTTTGTCTATCTGAAACAACCTTTGTACCTTATATCTTTATAACAAAAATCAATATTTCTACATTTTCTCATTTTTTTTAAAATTTAAATTTTTTAAATTTTTTAAATTTTCTTGTACAGGGAAAATTTGAATCTTTAATTGAAAACCAAAAAAAGAAAAAAGGGGGCCCCCAAATTTTTCGTCCGTAGTTTTTCATATTCCCGATTTTTAAATTACCCACTTTAAACCGTACCATAGTGATTGATGGCAAACAAAACCGATTGCTTCAATAGTATATAATGCTAGTTTATGGGCAGAACTTTGCTGATGTTGCTAGACCTTGCTGTTCAACCCATTTGCCCTTTGTAAAAATGTTGTTATGTGTAAAATAATGTTCTTAACTTGTATTCAAAGATTAAATTTAACCTAATATGGTAGTCTTTATTGCCTGAAAACATGTCCGAATATAATCCATGGATAAAGGATTAAATTAAAGTATTTTCCTGTGTTTCTATCTCCACATTAAAATCAATATACAAACATAAAATAATGTCAAAACCGTACAAACGAATGTATTTCTCCACCATAACAAAATTATCAAAGCTTATTGCCAAGAATATCATATAACAATAGTCATATATTCGTTCGAATGAATCACATTCAGATGAAAATGCAAGAAAAAAAATAAAGCACTCTTATTTATTGCACCATGGCTTCAGTCCAAGGTATTGCGTTATTTTAACGATGCCTATATGCTGAAATAATATGGCATCTAAAAGTGTGTGATAGCATTTGACGGCGTTTCATTGTCACGTGATTCCGTACACTGCTTTAAATCATTATATGAAATTTGACATGAAATAGTGTTCGAACTTGGGTAGCTTCCTGACAGAGATCCATATCCACTAAGATAGGATTCGCTGTCACTCGTCTCTGGTTCACATTGTTCCTTTAACACACCGTTATGTTTAGATCTCGGTAGACGAAGAGATGAAGTCCTGTGTCTATTGTCATAAAAACTTTCATTTTGCCCTTCAATATTCACCGAGTGTGTATTGCAATTGTGATCTAAACGTCTTTGAAAATGTTTAAAGGACCGGTTGCGAAATTTGCTACGTATTTGTGTAAAAATGGAAGAGTGTGCCATTGAATCTGATTCTCTCGGCGAAGAATGTAAACAAGTACCGTTCAAATTATTGCTGTTTTCACTAGAACCAAAACTTTCTTCGTCAATAGGTATAGTCATATCAAACGAAGCCGGTGAACGATTTTCTTGCATTGACAGGTCAGTATTTATCTCAGCTAAAGTTCTACGTCGTCCGGAATGACCTAGTAAACTTGTTATACCAGTTATTGAGTTTCGAGATAACCCATTTCGTGCACGAGCACTACCAGTCTCTTGTCCGTTCATATGACCATCGCAGTCATTTTCGTCGGAAGGATACACGACTCTCCCAGTTTTCTTGTCGTACACCAAGTCACCTATAGAATAGAATGATGAAAGAATAAGAATTCCAGAAACTAATATTATTAAATTTAACTAAATCACTGTTTCCAAATTTAATACCTTTTCATATATTTTACATGAACGTTCCAGTTTTACAATCAAGTATTCATTGTCAGAGCATGTTTTATGTAATTTTGTCATCGTATTGGAATAAATACAACAAATAAAATTCAAATGAACATCTTAATTATGTATGCAAGTGAATAATTTGGTTGTTTTGATTTTTTTCAGTAAAAATGGATCCAAGTTCTCAGAGAAACACACTTTTGGTTAGAGCTATAATATTTATAATTTGAAGAATACTATTTGCATACTAAATGAAATAAACATGTTTATCTTTTTACACGTGATTCAGCGCCTTGTAACATTGGGGTCCAACGCACTTTGGGGTCAAAATCGAGAAATTGACCCCAAAGTGCGTAAATATGCTACATATTAACGCACTTTGGGTTCCAGAGTTCTGAAGGTGTCAACTGAGTTCTGCTTAAATACTGAGTACTGATGTATGTTCGATCTGCAACATTGAAATATTTGAGTTCAAGATGACGGTCGATACTTTGTTTGATTAATTTTACCACTTGAAATATCTAAAAATAGTGTCCATATAACAAAGTACTCTAGTACATAAATTGTGAATGTATTTCTAAAATTAATAGATGCTGCGAAAAATATCATGTTCTGTCAGACATTTACTTGATAACTTTTGGTGCCATATTGAGCCTCTTTTTAAATATGAAAGTTCTTCACTAACTGATTCAAAATCATTTAAATCCCCTTTGATTAACTCTACTATAATTAAGGGCACATTTTTTGCGTCTATTTAAATACCTTGATATTATTTAAAATATGATGCATAAATGCAGTTAATATTTTTTCAAAAGAACTATAAATAAAACTCTGTTGCAAAATGTTTTGGTGAAATATCAAGTTTCTCGATCGGATTATAGATAGTGATTTTTACAAATACATTATCAAGCTTATCGTCAAACTTCAGTTTTTTTTGTAAGCTCCGTAACAACCGTTCGCAAGAGGCTTTTTAATGGAAATCTTTCATACTTCTTTAGAAAGCGCAAAAACATGGATTTTATGTTTAAATAATGGTATCAGAGAAATGTAAGATGCTTGTAATCTGAATAAACTAGTGAATAATGTGAAATAATTTGTCATAAAAGTAGCAAAATATAAACAATGTAGTATTGTACTTCCATATAAAATACTTATTCACTATAACTGTACTTATTGCCAAAAAGCAACAGATGAAAAAGGTGGTTCAGGTAATTGGCCAATGATAGCTGTACACCAAAATTAAAAAGCTTTTAAGAAAGACAAATAAAAGCATAATGGGCCTTTAAAACATAATTTTTTAATCTCGGGGCGATGGACAGCTGTGTTGTGTGGTGTCCCACAATCACCTCTAGGCCCATCAATGAGAATTTTGCAACTTTTACGAAGTTCCGCTCTTAATGTGTGACTACTAAAATAGTTTTACTGCCTTGTACGGACTTCTACTTCTTAGGGGGCCGCATCTACTTCTAGGTCAAGATTCTTAAATGTCACATTTAGATAAGCTAAATAAATGACCCTTCAACATTTTTATTCAGGCACATTTTTTAAACTGAAATGTGTTATTTTTAGATTTTCTTTAGGATTTTATATCTTTGTCTTTGCTAAGAATATCATATTTCTGTAAATGTGTAAATAAAAAAACGGGGAAATGATGCAATTACCTAAAAACAATGAGGTTAATGAAAGGTGTACATTTATTTCAAATATGTGGAAAATGTGAGAAAAACTATTTTGAGATTATTAATTGATACAAATTCTTTACTTGATGAAAGTTCTTCACTAAATGATCAAGATCATTTAAATTCCATTTTAATTCTACTTTAATTCAGGGCACATGTTTTGCATCTATTCAATATTATGTTTTATTGTTATGCTTCCGATCCTTAAAGATCGTTCAGCACGACATTATTGTTGTGCTTGTGCTAATTTAATTCTTTCTATTCGGCTGTTTTCTTGCTGGGTGGTTCCAGTATTCCTTACTTGAATACTGTTGAATAACCCTTAGGTTATGTGGCCTGCTTTTTAAATTTGTCTTTTGGCGTCTTATATGTGAAATGCAGGCTTAATAACCTCTGATCCCATTTCAAAATTCCATTTTATTTAGTTCCGCCCATTGTTTTCACGTTTAGGGCACACGCATGTTTTTACTTGGGGGCCATATGCTGCTTTTCATGGAATGGCACTTACGTGTCACATTAAAGGTTCCATGATAACCGCCATATGAACACATCCGCGGATGTTTCTTAATTCAAAATTGTACCACTTGAATTCTGCTTAAGCCGGTGCTAGGATGCGTGGACGGTAACTTGCATTTTCCAGTACCGTCCATGAACAGGCTCAATCAAACCGAGCCTGCAACATTTTCAATTGTGCCGTGTTGGACGTTCTTTAGGGATTCTTATTTTCTCTATTTTAACACCTTGACTGTTGTTTACCATTGGCTTTGACTACAATATATCATTTAAAAAATAATGAAATTCATTTTATTGATTGACTTTTTTATGACCCCAAAGTGTGGTCGTTCGTCTGATATTAAAAAATGCATATGTACCTGTTTAACGCACTTTGGGGTCAAATTGGACCCCAAAGTGCGTAACGCACTCTGGGGTCGGACCCTAAAGTACGTAACACACTTTAGGGTTGGACCCCAAAGTGCGTGTGACCCCAAAGTGCGGTGTTAAAGAGCCTACTGCTTCCACTTTGCACTAATTATGAAGAAGACCCTTAGATAAAACCTGTGTCACGTACCAATACCGTGCTCAACAATATCAGCCCCGATGATTTCTTCGGCTAGTGGTACACGTAGTCCTATCGTTAAATCAATCAGCTTTAAGATGATGTATGACATAATTAATGTCCATCCGGTTATAGCCACCATCGCTAAAGTCTGTACACCGAGCTGACGGAAACCACCATTCTACAAATATACCTTTCCTTACTTTCATATTTATCATATTTATCGTTAGATATCAATGCCATGTATTAATTGTAAAAGACACATAACTTTGATTAAAGCGATTTTTTTTCTAATAAACGATTGATTGCCTTGAACTTTAATATTTCTTTCATATCTACGATAGTTGTTTGTAAAGAGGCACAGAGGCGCAGTAAACATATATTTCATTATGATATAGTCTCTTCAATCGTTCATATAAATGTTATATTATTATATCTATTTCTTTGATTAATGAACCTTTAGTTTTGGTTATAAGAATATAATTAAAAACGAAAAGTATGACATGTATCTGGCATAAATTGGGATGGATTCAAATTGAGTAAAGTAGTAATCAATGTTTTGTAGTGCAATTCCTCACGAGTAAAAGACATTTCATGCTTCCATATTAAATTGGACAAAGAACACAACCGTTTTAAGGTATGACAAAAGCTGTCATGCACAGGCTCAATCAAACCGAGCCTGAAGTATTTTCAATTTTACCGTGATGTGTTCCGTTTCTCCGCTTACACAATGCTTTAATTGGCATATCAGGAAAACATTGAAACTAATTATGATTTGACAGGGTTTATACATCGTAAAGATTGCCTGCTTCAAATTGAAAACATTTTGATATAGGCAAAATATATCTCATCTTTTGATCATGATTTCTGTTCATTATAAATGATCAATACACGTACTTGTTTAAATGGGAAATAATTCCCAGAACAATCTAGACGAATCACTTCCTCAATTACAAACTTTAATTACTTCAAGCTTTAATGATAGCATATGTCGAAGGTGTGCTTTTTGTATTGCCAGCTGTAGTTCATTTAGTACTGAATGTAAAGTCTACATAAATAACATATAACCAGTAGAGCAGACAACATGATAAAAACATTTTCCTTTTCAAAACCATAAACACTTTTAATTGGTTTGCAGAAAAAAAATCACGAAACTATAATTAACATTTTTTATGCATTGCACAAGTTTGCACAACATAAGTAAAAACAATTGAGCATCACTGGTTACATTTTTCTCACAAGACTTACATAAAATGCACCGGCTGTAGCACCTTGAAGATAGAGCGCCTCGAGGAGCGAGTCATCTCTTATAAACAGTCCTGCAGCAAGCATTCCCCAGAATCCTGAGAGGGCATGAGTCCCAACACATCCTGTAACATTCATCATTCAATTTGCTTCAAATGACGCTGCTCGTTCTGAACATGTGACTTATACCGGTTATTCGGCCATGTGTAGTTATTTTTTTAAAAGCAAACACAAAAAAGGGCAAGCATAAATATTATTATGTTTAAATAATGGTTTCAGAAAATGTTAGAAGAAAGTTACCTGAAAAAGTAGCCATACATATGAAATGATTTGTCATAAAAGTTGTCATAAAATGTAAATAGAGTAGTATTTTGACTTCGATAAAAAAAGTAATTCGCTCAATGTAGTTATTGCCAAAAAGCAACAGATGAAAAAATGGGGGTTCCGGTAATTGGCTAATGAGTAACAGTTTTGGATACTATAAAAATACAGAAAAAAAATTACGAAAGAAATGCATTTCTGCGACAAAATGGGCCTTTAAGGAATCTAGCATTCAATATTTCGTTTAAACAATAAGGCCATCAAAAAACTATGCAGATAAAATCGTATCAAATTAGGAATTAGAACTTTAGAAGTAGGGTTTTATCCGTTTAGCAATAATTTGTGCATGCGCCATTCGCTTTTAAGGCAATAAATTACCATATTTATTTTATACAAGCATTTTGGAAGTATACATTTTTAAAATTCAAACAATAATTTTTTGCATCAGATATATAACTTTATACTTTTGAAAACAAAAAGCACCGAGTCTAACAAAAATTAATCTTGACCGTCTATGTCTATAAATATGACATTTTTCTTAAACAGAATCCATGGGGCCGGGTGATTTGTTTGTTCCGTATTTGTTTTATATTTGTTTGTACTATATGCATGTATCGCAAGTCACTATAATGAATAATTTCTTCTTCTTCTATTTCTTTTTCTTGACAGTTTTACCTTAAACATATATGAGTTTAACCCCTGTTTTAATTGATTTCAGCGTGAACTGTCAGGTTACGATATTCGTTACCTGTCTCAAACAGGAGATACCGAGTAAACGTCGATGAACTCGGTGATTTTTTACTTTGAGGGAAACAAATTTTGAAGTACGATACATAATTGTTAGATATTTACAGAAATGGTACAGTCAGTAACTTACCAACTGGGTCGTCTATCCTTAACTTATCAAGTAGAGCAACGCCTGCATTTGATATGATGGATCCAATAAAACCAATAACAAGACCTTCCCAAGGCTGAACTATGGCGCACACAGCTACAATGTAATTGATTATTCAAGAAAAAAGTCTACGATAATTCACCAATCACCAGAAGATTTCGTGGAGATGAAAGAAAGTTCAAGAAAATTATCTTCAAATACAGCTCTGATCTGTTTAAAATAGACCTACATCATTAGTAGATTTCTTTACGAGTACATTAAATGACTCTTGGTAGTTATTATTATTAAAATGAAATTTGCTATATACTCAAAACGTAAGCCAAAATTAAAATGTGCTTGTTACCACATTTAAAATAATAGAAGGATCCAATGTCTGTGTGTTCGTAATTGACATATATCTGATTAGTACAGTCTGCTTGAATAAGTCTACATTAAGCTATAATATAAGTGACCTTCAATGAGAAGAAATTTGATTATCTTGTTCTTCTTTAGTCAAGGTGTACTTTTCATATTTTTCACTTTGTCCTTGGACACAAATCAAACGAACACGTGCACTTAGCTAATCTCATCTCTCATTAAATTAATCAAAATGAATCGTATTCAATCTTCTCTTAACTGCAGTATAATCAAAACATTTGCAAGGTTTTCATTTCACAATACGTAAAATGGTACTTGTTACTATATAACACAACGTTTTCCGCATGGTTAACAATTGCTAATGATGGACACAGCACACAAATGAAAATACATTGTATATACTACAGGTCAGAATGAATATTCTGAATAAACGTCAACAACGTAATATAGTTTAATTTGGTATTAACTATATACTCAAAATGAAGCCCAAATTAAAATGTGCGTGTAGCCCCATTTAAAATAATAAAAATAATAAATAGATCAAATTTCTGTGATGTGTGATCGTAAATAAGTACAGTCTGCTAGAATAATTCTGCATTAAGGTTAATATAATTGACCTTCAATTACAAGTTAGGGAGAAGAAATTTGATTATCTTATTTCACCGCACATTCATATGAAGTTCTTCTTAAGTCAAGGAGTACTTCTAAATTAATTAAACTGTTACTATATTCGTTTTCTTATTTTACACTATGTCCTTGGAAACAAATCAAACGTGCACATGCACTTAACTGTGACAGGTTTTTTTTTTTAGATTTTATAGCAGTTCTAAGTAAACGTGATATTTTTCAATGGTAAAATCTGACTTATATTCATAAAATCAGAAAAGCGAGGGAGGTGACATAAAACCTTTATGACAAAAAATTAAAGGTTTATATAATTAATTTCTTATTTACTACACTCAGTACATTCATGTCTGGTTAGACTTAATGCTACCATTCAGTTGTTAAACGGTACACATTATAACTATTTAAGGATACTTAGCTCAAAACCTTCAAGGATGAAATTCTATTTTCTGTATAATCATTTTTCAAAATTTAAGCTGCGACATACAGTATAACCCTTGCAGAGCAATATAACCTTTGGGCTTTGTGCTCAGATATGTTGCTCTAAAAAGGTAAAATAAAATAAAAACCTTTACTTTGGGAATAAATCATATGCTGCTGTAAAGAGGTTATTGCTATACAAGGTGCCGCTCTGCTGAGTCGACACCACATGTATAGCATCAATCTCCTACGCAGTGATCTCCCCTATCAGTCTGCCGAGGGAGGTAATCACTGTTAGGAGTTTGGTATAACACTACTAGATGATTACATACAATTACATGTACATAAAATTATCAAAAGTAAAATACCATTACATTGACATACCTGTGATTGACACCAGAGACCCTAACAGGCCGTTTATCATGTATGTAACGTCAAATATTCTTTTCTTGACAAAATAACTGGAAATTTAAATTTTACATTTACAATTTACTGTATGGATGAAATTTTTATATCATAAATTATTGAAATATTAGGAAATAATTGAAGTGGAATTAGTGTTGCCACTTATATAAAAAATTTACCAAGGTTTGAAAGTGTGTTCAAGTGCAAATATTTTCATTTTTCTCTTTGTTATATCCAATAATTACTGATAAACATGCATTTTTGTCAGAAATTATATCAACGGTTTTCATAAATCCAAATATAACCTAATATTTTAATTGGATGATTTAGAAACATGCGTTATAATACGTTTGAAACTTAATATAATAGCGAAACTCACATATAACAGTTCTACCACTATTTCAAAAACATTTTGTGTATCTTTTTACATACTTTGCAAATGAAAAAAATGGCATTTAAATTTTAAGATGATATTGTACCTTAAGAGAAATCCAGCCACCCCGCCGGCAATGGATGAGCAAAGTGTAGAAGCAGCAGATCTAGACAAAATGAGAAATATAAATATACTTGTATCTTTGGACACTGTTAGGGCGGTTAACTTACACAAAATTAAATTTCCATATTTTATCATACGTTACAGTCTAGGTACTTTAGATTTAAGCCTGTTATGTACTAGTCACATACAGTAGAATTCTACTAGATTGATAACTAATTACTAGCAAATTCAATTTACAATATTGTGTCAATATATATTACATGATTAGATAAGCAACTGCAAGAGAAATACCTAGCAGCCAGTTTCCATTTCAATCCAGATATTCCAAATGTACTACCACAATTGAAACCAAGCCATCCCCACCTACATATAAATCATAATCATGTTAGATTTCAGTCACTTTATAGTCAAGATAATGAATATGGAAATATAAGACAGAGTACATATTTTGTTTTACATTTGAAACATAAATTCATTTTGGCTAATCAGGTGTTTTAATGCGATTCAGTTAAAGTAAATGTTGTAATAAGCTATAAAATAAAATGTAAGTATCCTTAAAATATATTTCACCTAACACATCGAGATCGTTTTTCATTACCATTAAATGAATTATTTATTGCCTAACTGTCTATTTAATTTGAGGCATTTTACGTGTACTGACGTTATGACAAATAATATCTTTATCAAATAAATAAGATATACATGTATTTATGTTATATATTTATTATGTTAAAGGGTTAAAATTTCATTAATTTCACTAATCAAAGCACAAAACATAATTTAAATGTAAAAAGAGTAGAGGTCACGGACAAAAATCACAGTTCAATAAACGCAGTCCCTGCAAATGCAAAAATAATCTTATACTCTTCATTATCGCAATGCATACTTACCATAACATAAACATGCCGAGGACTGCATTTGTTGGAGAGCTCATCTGGGGAATTCTACTAGTTTTACCGGTATAACGCCCATGTCGAGGCTTCAACAACAGGGTGGCAACTAGTCCTGTAACCCCGCCTACAATGTGAACAGGACCCGCCCCTGCTATGTCTACTACACCAAGTTTATAAAGCCAGCCATTCGAAGCCCAAACCCAATGTGCCGGGATGCAAAATAATAATGTGTTGAACATTGAGAATATCATATACGAAGTTAGTTTTGTTCTTTCAGCCATTGCTCCTAAAATAAGAGTATAACTTTTAAGAAAAATTTATGAAAACAATTATATTCTTTAATAATCATATTAAATGTAATGATATTCTTAGTTTACTAAAACTGCTAATAAGGTCAAAGACAATATATGATATAATCTTTTTAACGATATGATGTACTTCATTGGAAGCACTAATTTGTAGGGAAGCATGTTTTGATATAATTTATTTTCATTTACCTGACACAATTGTTGTTGCTGTTGTTGCAAATGATGATTGGAAGAAAAACTTGGAATAAACAATTCCCAGCTTATCGTCGTTAGCATTAACAAAGAAGTAGCCCCAGCCTGTAAACGCATTGCTATATTCAGAGTCTCCAAAACTCAATCCGTAACCGACCATCCAGTAAGTGAGCCCACCAAAGACAACATCCACAGCATTCTTTACCATTATGTTCAGTTCATTCTTCACACTTACAGACCCACTCTCTAACAACCCAAACCCTTAAATCGAAAGAAAGAAAAAGCCATGTTAATATAATGTGACTAATGCAAATATAGTGAGAACTGGGGATCACTTACCTACGAAGGAAGGTAATTCACGATTTCAACTTCACGAATTCACGATTTCAACTTCATGAAGTTGAAATCGTGAATTCATGAGCTGAAATCGTGAATTAGTGAAGTTGAAATCGTGAATTCATGAGGTTGAAATCGTGAATTCATGAAGTTGAATAGTGAATTCGTGAAGTTGAAATCGTGAGTTCACGAAGTTGAATTCGTGAAGTTGAAATCGTGAATTCGTGAAATTGAAAACGTAAATTCATGAAGTTGAAATCATGAATTCGTGAAGTTGAAGTCGTGAATTCATGGAGATGCATAGTGAATTCGTGAATTCCGTATTTTGAAAACGGGAATTCCCGAGGTTTGAATTGTGAATTCATGAAGATGAAATCGGGAACTCATGAAGTTGAAATGGCCCTACCGATCTTTCGTACTTACCACTTGGTTTCTGATTCAAGGATTTAAATATATGGTTACATTTTCAAACTCTCTGATTATTCACTGACTGAAATATCTTCTTCCTTTGCGAATCGTCCCAGATATTCAGGCAAAGGTCTCAGAGAGCAAACAAACCACAGAATATGAAGCTGCAGACCAGATCAATTTAACACTTTACTTGTAAGTTTACACTCGTATTAAGGACAGAATTTGGTTATGAATTTCATAAATGATTGGTTAAGTACTCGATTTGTACTTTTTAACACTGACGTATGTGTACCCAAGTATTGCAATCCAATAAATTAGTCAAGGTAACGCTGGTGCTATGGGGGCACAGTAAATGATGTGTAATCCATCATCTCTCATTAAAATAATCAAATAAAGTCGTCTTCAATCTTCTTTTCAGCTGCAGTATAATCGTAACACATGCAGGGTAGTAATTTAACAATACGTAAAATGGTACTTGTTACTATAGACGCTTTCAAATTATCACAACGCTTTCGCATGATGATGGACTCACCACTTCTTATTTGGAGATGCATGGGAATTGTGTTCGTGTGGCCGGCGTACTAGTAAGATACCGTTAAATATAAAAAATTAGAATACATTGTATATCCCTTACACCACAGGTCGGAATGAATATTCTGAATAAAGTTCAAACAACGTAATATAGTTTGGTATTATCTATAGTTTCAATCGATTTTTGATATTTCAACCAACATTGGTGATAACTTAATGACATAAATATTTGCTTTCGAAAGGGTCGGAAGTTTTATACATAGCCTTATTAAAAAAGGATCTGCTCCGTTGTTATAGGTTCAAATTCAGACCGCAGGTATTTGATTGCCTAGCAACTTGGATATAATGTATAATGATAATCGAGAATTCTGAGAATCGAGATTGAGCAAAGAAACAAGATTTATAAACACAATGCCTGGTCATTTTTCACGACGATGTCACATTCAATACGAAAATTTGTTACTAGATAATTGCGGTTTCAGTCAAATGTTCATGTAAAATTTATAAATGATGCACATTTATTTGTTGTGACACGCACTTTCAATTAGATAATGAATACAATTAAACACTGCGTTATAACATAGACTACATAAATGAGGAACTCAGGAAAGTTTGAATCTGTAATTTACTACAAACGACGCCTTAGGACAAATTAGAATACCAGACTGCCTCAAAACATGTCTTTTTATTCTAATTAATTGATGTCATTCGTTCAATTTCAGCAAAGCATCATATATTACTGCATCTATCATTATGACACGTTCAGTTTCCGGTACGTACTGATTACTTTAAAATATATCTAAGTGCAATGTGAAGCATATCAACTGTTTTTGAGGTCAACGTTATTAAAAACAAACTTTCGTTATATGCTTTCAGTACACAAAACAGTCAAATTACATTTTGAAAATTTTAGATTGCGATGAACATAATCTAATAAATCATAAATGAATGGGAATTCCAGAAAAAATACACTGCGTCGTAAATAAAATGCACAAGAGTATTGGAAGTATTGGGAGCACGTGTACATACTGTATTCATGTACAACACACTAAAAATGTAACAAAACTCGAGCATTTTTACAGATTGTTATCAACACGAACATTGTCACGACATGATCTGTTGACGTTATGAAGATAATAAAATTCCATCAAAATTACTTGAAACAAAACAAATAAATCATCAATTCAAAATGTGTTGGTTCTGCATATAAGACCGTAAGATCACTTGTAAAGACCACCTGTAATATTTTCACTCGAGACTTTGCCATTGAAGAATTTTTATACATCTGGTGTTCACTTTGTGAAATATACGTCTTTTAATGTTACAGGCAAAACAAAAACAAAATATCGTTTATTTACAGAACATTATGAACGATAAAGTAAGATACATATATTTTATAAGTCAAATCATTAAGGATATGCCCGTCTTGTCAGTAAATAGATGACACTGTCACTTTGACGAACATATTCGTCTTAGAGACAGTGAAATTATTAAATGATAACTATCTGGATAAAATTCACTATTTTCTTTGTGACCGACAATGAGATAATATAATAACAATCTTGAACAAGTGTGCTGTCAGAAATGTCGTGCCAAGTATATATTGACATTCTGATTGTCATAATGACATAATTCCCATGTGGTTACCATCGTGCTTTAACAAATATATCAATATCTCAATGGTGCACTTTCGAAAGCAAGCTATATAGTAAATCTCTTGTGTGCATGACTCAATGATTTTGTTACTTAATCGTTTAGGTGTAAAATTGATTTTCCAAATCAGCACGAACTGAAATGTTTTAAATAAATAAAACGCAGTATTAAGCGTACATGTATATGTTTTTTAATGTTACATAATTGACGATTTAAGTAAAAGTTGATGTTGGCGAAACAGTTGTTAGATGAGTCGTGAAATAATTACAAACGTACAATTGCATTTTTATTGGTCATTTTATTATTTATTTTACAGCAATTTAAAACCTTATGCTAATCATTATAATTCGTACACGTAAAGGAGAGAGATTTATGGCAAATTCGCTTGTCGTTATCATTTAATGAATCATTTAAACTATGAATTAACAAGACATTTAAAACGAGATGTTTGTTGCAGAAAATGTAAATTCATATAATGTACTCATGTTTTAACAGATATTTTGCTGCAAAGTTAATAAAGAGAAATTTGAATAAAATACTGTCAAATGAAATTGAAATATTTACAATGCGATTATTTTCATTAAGCTGTTGGTTAATCATTCTTTGTGAATTGAGTAATGCATTGCTGTAAATATAATATCATTATATAATCATGAAGCAATGCAATCAAATTTCAATTTATTTACAAATTTATCATATAAAATATTAATAAGAAACAAATGTGTTTACATGTTAAGCAGTTCAAAATTTGAACATACATATGTTATCAGCAATGTACTTAAGAAAAGTTTTGCTGCATTCCTTGTAAGTACATTATTATGATCTATTAGTTTCGTCCAGGAATTCAAATTTTAGATAAGAAAATGTTTTGTGATTTATAATGACAGGAGAAAAACGGCACGCCAAACATTACTTTTGTTGCATTAAACTAATAGATAGTTTAGCCCTAACTTCGAACCTTTTATTCTGTTTCAAACTTGATAAGGAAGTATGATGAATGACAGTAATGCTTGTAAGTATTCACAAACCAAGAACGATCCGGACATGTTTAATTCAGGATTAACTTAGAATTTAGCTAGAAATGGACACACATTTGTATGTAATTATAAGGTCACCTATGTATCTTGCTATATCGTTTAATTATATAAAGTATAATGTATAAGTACATGCCTGCCTTTACATTTTTAGATTTACTTAATATGCCATGGAAACGTTTATATATGAGAAGAAAATGAGTAAAACACTTTCTTTTCCGATGGGATTATCATTTCAAGTACAAATTGAAATGTGCAATACATTGAAGATAATTACTATCCCTGTATGTTGCTCTTATCAAAAGGCAGGAGATATTAAATTTTAAATCAAAACAAGCTATAAGGATTTACCTAATCCTCATAGGAAATTTATCCCTCTGAATACAACTTTCAATGTGTAATTCGATTGTTTTGTACTGTTAATTTAAGTAAGGTTAATCAAACAATGATTTAAACTTTATTCAATTACTGGCAGTTTAGACACTATTTTTTTACTATCGCCTAGCAACACTTGATTAAGGAAAACATATAACGGACGCCATGATTGTTCTATGACATCCTGGCAATTCAATCAAAAATTAGAAATATCCATGGTCTTAGAAATGCTTTTATCTATGAACTCGCGAGTAGAGATACGAGTATTATGTAGTGGCTTCATTTTATTTTGACTTCAATATTATAATAGTGATATTGTATTTTTTCCTGGTCTGGCGATCGTCATATTGCCTGACCTAAGCTGATAACCATATTTTTCCAATCACGCCGTTAAATCTGTTACAAAGTATAGACGACATATTTTTATATATTTATAGCACACCAGTTAACTTTGTAGAAGCATTCGAATATCTTGGAATTTCTCTCTCTTAAAAATGGCAATGGGTTTACGAGTCGAAATCGAATTGCACATCACGTCTCATTTGCTTTGCATGACATGTTAAACAATTTATGTTTTTTTTTGCTTTACATTACCTGTTAAACAGATAACGGTTGTTTGCTTTGCATAACGTTTTTTTTTTTGCTTTGCATAACCTGTTAGACAGTTAACGGGCTTTTGCTTCGCATAACCAATTAAACAGTTAACATATTTCTTTGCTTTGTTTTCTTTTTTCATAGAACTAACAACTCAGAGAAAAGGCAAAGAAAAAGCAAACAAGGAAATTAAAACTAGTTCAAAGATTGTACGATAAAAAAATTATAAATGAAACAGAATACAACAGAACAGAAATGATCCCGCCTACTTTTTAAATACTCAAAAAGTATGATGGTGAGCCCAATTGTTTTCATCCCTGCACTAGT